GAAGAGGTGTGTTCGGCTCCTGTCAAGTGTTCTTAACCCCTGATTTGAAAAACTACATTCAAAATAACCTTGGTGAAAGGCTGGTGCTGATAAACAAACTCCCCTGACTGAAAGACTACAGGTTCAGTGGCCGATAACAGCTGAAATGTGCTTCTTTAAATACAGAATGGTCAGACTCTACTGTATTCTCTCTTAAGATGACCAATTTAGAATAACTAAAATCAGCGCCTGGAAACTACAGCATCTAAATGCAGTGATAGTACATAGCAGAAGTGTATAATTAAATAGCTTAAAACCTGCAACAAGATCGTAAAATAAATCTCAGGAGCACTACATGTTAAAAGTTTTTTGCACAGGAAACTTTTGGTATGAACTTTTTGGTTAAAAAAAAAAACTTTGCCCCAAGGAAGCTCGCTCACTTTGTGCTTTGAGGCATGTCACCAAGTCAGCCCATCAGCCATGCAGTTCAGTCTAGACTGATGGACCCACATACCCACGCCCACACACTTGGGTCTAGGCTGCATTACACAGAAAGCCCTGTGCAAAGTGTCAGACAGCTAATGACCCAGATCCTCCACTCACCCACTAACTCAACCTGACAGACTGACAAAGCTAAAACTCTGGAACATACATTTTCTTAGTAGGAGGAAAAGAAAAAATCTGACATCGCCATAAAATTAGGGCTAAGTGATATAGGCATGCTGAGAGGTATAATGCCAGAGTACTGCAATATTGCAGCCATGAGTTACGACAAAGTGAGCTGTGTTGGATTTGAATGTATTCTGTGGGGCAGTTCATACATTAACTGGAGAACGGACAGAAGCGAGACATGGAGAAGAACAAGCAACAAGCTTTCAAGTCTGATGCAAATGAGGGTATGTTGCGGTTCATGGTCGGTCCTTAAACCTCTAGGCCACCAGTGCCGAGTGATTATAATCATTTCGAATAGAACGTTTCTCCGCTTTCAACTCACATTCTCTCTTTAGCTCTTGTGAACACTTTCAAACTACTCAACCTCCTCAATACTTTCTGGCATCAAAAATGTTGTGGCTCTGATCCCTGCCTGCTTGTATTGACATAGATGCAAACTGGGTGGCAAAACAAACGTAAAACACTCAGCTAGCTATATTCCAGCTCAGCTTCAATGCCGCTAAGTATGTTTTCTCATTCGAAAAAAACATACTAAAAGACTAAAAAGGTGAGAGACACCAAATTTTGATGCTGGACCCCACAAGCCTGTGAGAAGGTACAGTGTGCATGCACAGGTGTGGTTCTGCCCTATAGGATCCTATGATATATTCCAACCACATTCCCACATCTATCAGTGAAGCGAGTCTTTGGTGGTGGGAAGCGAAAACGTCATGCTTGTTTGGAAAAGTTTTGGCTTGACTTGCCTTATAGAATTTGCAAGGCCAGGCAGGTCTAGGCATTTTCTGTCAGTGTGTGGAATGGAGAGAGGACTGTGTGTTTGTTCACTCCTCTCCCCTGGGCTGGTGTCACAGAAAACCTGACTCCACTGCAGATGAAGAGAAAACAGTCCCCTGCAAAAAGGCAGCGTGTATGTGCTTCCTTCTGTTCTGAGTCTGTTGTGCCTGAATATAATGGTATGAACAACACTCTGAATGTTTGCCTGCTTAAATGCAAACAGTATGTATAGCTTGTTCTAAATAGATATATGTGTTTGTTCAGAATGGATGGAAACAGGTTAATGAAGGATTGAGTGGCCGACTAAACCAACAAACTTGGGACCAACCACCTATGTTTTGCCTAAACTGCCTTTTCCACATTAGTGCCTGATCAGTAGTCATCAGTGGTCAAGCCCATAGCTCATGTAAACATAATACGGCTGAAATTAATTTAAAGGCCATTCACACACAGAAATGTTTTTGTCATGGTTACTTCTCTTATTATTATGTATTTGACTTTCATTGTGAACAACGATGTGCGTGAGTTTGACTGCTAAAAGTAAAGCACTTCACTTTGAGCTCAGCTAAAATATACATTTAAGGCATTTACTTACAAGTATGGTTCATAAAATCACAAGCAATTGGCAACTTACTCAGGTGTAATGTGGCAACATCTACATCACTTGTACATAGAGAATGGTCTGTCTCTGATTTAGGAAGCATTGTGTAACCACTCGTTACATTTCTGAGATCAAAAATAGCATCTATATATATATATACATATATTTTTAGACTGTGGGCTTTTCAGTGAGAGAGAGGAGATACAGATGTCATTCTCAGAATTTCCGGCAAGGTATTTGAACCTTTCTATGAAAAAAAGGAGAGGATTTCTCTGTAATATTATAAAACTATTGGAAAAGCTTAATAATGTATGCGTAAATAGATGTGAAAACAAGTTAAAAAGACTATTAACAACCAAGAGAATCCAATGAAATGCCCTGAAAATACATTAATTTAAGTTTGAAAACTTTTTTTTTTTTTTTTTTTTTTAAATAGCTTTGGTCTACAACAGCTTTTCAGCGCTTTACTACAAAAATAAAACAAATCTGAGTTAGGACTGCCTCATCTTTCTCCAATATAATGGCGCTGAGCAATATTCAGTCTTATATATCAAGACATGCATTTAAAAAAAAGTATTTTTTTAAAAACTGAATGCCTTGTTAAGGTGTTAGTGTTTTTTATTAGTTACAGGATACTTTTAAAAAAAATGGCACATTGATTAATCGTATTTTTAAATACCATCTCTAATTTGTGTATTTTAGGCATTTTACTGTTCTGTAATCCCTGAAAGAAGATCATGTAGAAATGTCAGTGTTGTAAAGATTTCCTAGTGTACATGAGAGAATAGTGGCATGTATGTGCAACTTGTACTTTGAGGTAGGAGTCTGTAAATTCTGCTTGTCAGCGAGTGCCTCTGTGGTGTCAGGAACTATCATTATGTATGTGTGTGATATAAAGAGAGTTCTGAAATGGGAGCAGGCCTTGAATGTTACTTTGTGAACACAAACTTTGCTGAGCAAGCAGAGCTTTGCTGAATATGACCAAAGCTGGAGACAACTCATTGTACCAGCTTTAATTAGGTGCCTTCAGAAAGTAGACAGGCAAATAGAATAGAATAGAATAGAATAGAATAGAATAGAATAGAATAGAATAGAATAGACCTTTGTTGATTCTAAATTCTAAATATTAGTAGATATACAAGTTCAACCCCAAGAAATGTTTTTCAAAACATATTAACCGAGCAGATACAGTCCATGTACATTGTGTCACTGCACAAACACTACAAATAGTCCTTAAATGTTTTTTTAACCAATGTAAATGAGAAAAAATACTGTAGTATGTCTGAATCTATAATGCAAATGCAGATTCTCACTGAGGCAAGAGCAAAACGGCACACAAGTGTCCCACCGATCACACTGAGGTGAAATGAGGAGACGGTGAACTGTTTTACAGCCTCTCCACCGAGTGCATCTCGTCTGAATCCTACCAGAAAGGAAAACCTAGCAAGAAATTCTAATTCTCACAACTGTTGTCTGGAGGTTCTGGCCATTCATTCAGTGTGCCTAAATCAGCTCTATGTGGATAAATCAAGACTTTAATATCCATGGAAACACCAAACAATATGCATACAGGTCTGGTCGTGCAACTGGTGGAACAGTCCAAGACATGACTAATACTCAACAGCACCACAGTGGAAGTTACTGGTGTTTGCGTGTGTGTACATTTGAATGAACACGCACAAAAAGCACAGAAATCCTCCTCATCCATCTCTGGTTACCATTAACGCCAGGCTCCAACTGAGACCAGAGCAAATCTGGTGCTCTGACTCATAAAAGCCACTTTGCACTCACACACACAACAAACGAGAAGCTCAGAAATAAACATTCATTTGCAATATTATGTGTTTGGGTCAGATGCATGACCCCTGCAGACAGAGGGATGTTTCAAAATATGATTCACTTTAAAGATAAAAAACATATATTTCCTATTTAGTGATTGACACTAGCCTAACTTAACCATAACTTATGCAGTAACTACTAACACTGGCCAGCAAGTCTTCTTTAACTAAGTGTCACACTTTATACTTGGAACTGTGTTTCCCACACATCTGGAGGAACACCTGAAGCTACTGGAGCATTTTAGACAATGAGTTTTTCTACGTAAAGTGACCTACGACATTTTGCCATGTTAAATGAGACGCCCGATGGTAAAACCAATGTGTGGTGTCACCATAAGACAGACAGCGAGAGAGAAAGAGCACATACGTCTGAGGTTGTCTTTTAGGAACATGGGCACTCTGCAAACCATGCTGTATTTAATCAGCATGGTTGTGTTAACAGAGAGCATGGCTGGTACACACTGCTAGGCAGACTTGCACATACTCCATTCCATCCCATCTCGTGCCAATTAAAGCCTTCGAATACATTGTAGAAACACACCTTTGCATGTAGGAAGGATGTTACCACAGACATATATGTCAAGTATATTTCTATCTACCTATGGCCAGCCACACATGATGGTTATACACATGATATGGTGGGTTTTGGCTCTACAGTAGGCAGGGATCAATAAAAAGGTGAGTGTTAGTTTGAAATTTTAACATGTACAACATGCAGCTTATACATTTAAAAAAAACTGCTGCGTGTCTGGAACAGAAGCATCGAGAATCTTCTTTAAAAAAATAAGCTTAAAAAGCGGCTGGTCAGCTGACATCCAAACCATTTTACCATGCTGGAACTGTCAGCTTGATGCATTAACTAAGTAATCCAGCTACATCAGACTAGTCAACATGGAGCACCACTGACACCTACTGATGACTTTTAGATTTCCTATTATGGATCCATTTACCTATTACATTAAGATGCAGAGTAAGTTAAACTATTGTCTTGTAGCTTGGCTGCACATCATAAACTCAAATGCACGATCGCTACACCAACTACGGGGACAAGTTTAAACTAATATTCTGCATCTTTACTTTTAGCTTTTGAGTATGTGCTGTGTGTTTTCTGCTGTCTAAGTGTTAATGTCTCTTACTGAGATCCTCAGCCAGCTGGACTCGGCGGCCAGTGATGAGGTGGGTCTTCCTCTCCGTGTCTTCCCCAAAGTCATCCAGCACTTCCTTCACATTTTTCTCCAACCGACGCACTGAGAAGACGAATGAGCAAACACACGTACACAAAGGATAATAATCAATGTTTGATCCAACAACAATGCATTGGATTCTTCTGTTCGAATTATGTGATCGAGACATTTTAACATCATTAAAATGCTTGCGAGAGAGGAAGTGTCTATCTACACAACCGGCATTCAATTTATTATTGAACATCTATTGATGATCCAGATAACTGTTATGGAGTCTGGGTAAACTATAGAACAAAGCTCAGGCCAATAGTAAAGGTTGTGCAGATGCCCAGCCAAGCACATCTGGACCACGTTCAAATATCTAATTTATTTCATCAGAAAAAGTTAAGAATGTAAGAAGTGAAAATCCTAGCAATAATCCTTGTAATCACAACTCAGCTCACAAAAATGGTCAAAGTGTTCCATTATAAGCCTCGAGTCCTTACCCTCAGTGTTGGTGAGCTGCTGTCGGAGAGTGTTGGCTGTGATGACCAGCATCCTCTGGATTCTCCAAAACAGTACCACATCATTGCACTCCAACTGGAGGAAGATGCAGGAACAGAATTCAATTTTGCACACAGTCACCTTGAATGATGTTTAGAAAAAGTTGGAAGACAAATTTGCTTACCTCAGAGTCAACAAAGTGTCTCTGGTAGTAGTAGAAACCTCTTTTGCACAGGCTGCAGTGGGACAATGCCTTCTGCAAAAAGTGTCGGCGGTACAGCTGATGCCATGTGTCCTTGATCTGGGTAAAAACGGAAGTATTTCAACAGCTAATTGATGGTCAGCATAATGCATCCTATTGCTGTTGGGTGGAAAACTGGTGAAAAATAAATAAACTGAGAAATAACAAGACACTTTTTACCATTGTCAGTCATTAGAGTCTGGACATATTTCTCCTAAGCTTTGTTTAGATAATCAGATGTTTTGATCTCACCAGCACTGGATCAACTTCTACCCCTCGTCCCTCCAGGTTCTTCCTGACTGTGGTGACCTCGTCATTGGCCAGGTAAGCTGTGTGGTCATCGTGCAGCTTCAGCAAGCGCTCCAGCTCGTTTTTTGTTTCATTACGGATGTGCTACAAGGTCACAGAAGAGTCAGTGAGCATTGTCTTCAAGATGGCACACAGCTATTTAGCTGCAGAGGAATATTTAATGTCTTGTGTGCTTGGATTTATAAGCTATGCCGAGATCTGCACTAATGTTGCAGCTGATGTTATACCATTGGTATCTAATAAGTATCCTTACAAGTTTTCCACCTCACAGTTTCAAAGGTAAAATCCCAACACCATCATGACCACGATTTCTGGGAAAACGCTGCAACTCTGACCTGATCTGGTGTACGGTTCTTCCAGTTCAGCCACCTCTGCTTCCAGTCAGGACCCACCATGTCTCTGATTACTGATTCAGCTACAGAAGGTGAGAAGCGCAAAAGACAAGGAGAAAAAAACAAAATAAGACTCTAATATTGTTATGAGTACAAGATTAGACAATCTTTTCTATCTAAAGTATTTCACTCAACATAGAAACAGAGCCTCTAACCCAGCAGCAATGCAGATAAACTAAAACTAGAAGACAGCACAAACTCATGACCACTTACAAGCTGATTAGAATAGGTTTGCGCCTGTGATGTCTATGAAAAGTAATTTGTTCTGTAGTTTTAGAGGATTCAGAGAATCAGACCTCACTGAGGTTTACGGCTGTGCTTGTCTCCTGGAGGAGAGAAAATGTGACACAGTGCTGGACAATTGCAGAAGGCACCTGAACTGTCTGCTACTTCCACACATTCCACTCACTAATGAAATCTTCAGGAAAAAAGAAGACTGACCGGTAGTCACATTTTATGTCATGATAATGTCTATGGAAATTAAACTTTATGTTGTTTTCAATATTCTTGTCTGTAAAGTTACAATAAATTACACTGTACTGTGTTAATGGTTTACTTTGTCAAATGATATCCACATCTGTAAAAGACTTGTTAAATACTGCAACATGTAGGTTATCACAAGTTCAGGACTGGGAGGTGAGTGACGCTGTATGAAGCTATCATGGATAACTTACTGTCTTTAAGGCGCGATTGCAAGGTTTCTTCCATGAACTGGATTGCTGCATCCCACTGTGGCTTGTCTGTGATGGAACGGTCTTCAAGAGCATTATGCTGGATCACCCTCTGACACAATCATACACAGGGCAAGGAAAAAAAATCACCTATTAGTTGAGCTGCAGTGTAATTGCATGGCATATTATTCCTGCACCTTATGAGTCATAAGTTAGAATCAATGCTTTTTGCAATAATGTTCTCAAGCCCAGTTTCTTTATGTTCATTGCACAGCTTCATGAAATAGTGTCTGCTTAGTAAAGTTCAGTCAACAAGTACATGTTCTCTCTGTATCCTTGCACCCTTTTGAGTGGATTTACTGTGTGTTTACCAGGCTGTCCATGGCCCTCTCATTCCACTTGTGCCTCTTGATGCTCTCATCCTTCACAGCCTCCTTTAGCTTGTCAAAAATGTCATCCTGGTCTTTGCCTTTGTATTCAGCCATGAAGCGGGCAAATTCTTCCTGCAGAGTCTCCCAGGCAACCTAACGGGAGCAAAGTATACAAAGTATAAGGAGGAACGAGGCCATTGCCATATTTAATATTCTTGTAAATTCTACAGTTTGTATCAATAGAGCTGAGCCAAACGTTGTAATTACATAGTAAAATGAAATTGGAGATAACACAATATGTGAGACATTAAAATGTCAAAACCTCATCTATGATACAAATTTAGAATTTCCTTTTCATCAGCAAAGGGTCAACAAAAAATAAATAAAAACCATACTTTATTTTAGTAATAATCAACATCTTATGTCAATGAATTATAATATGAGCAGTTGTGTAAAGTCAGACAGTCTGCTTTACCTCCAGTGCTTTGTGTGGGAGCTGCTTGTCGGTCCACTGCTTCAGCTTAATGTCTACAGTGGTGTTAAAGGTACCAGAGTCCATTGTTTGGGCAGCAGGCAGGTAGATGTTCTCGATTACATGAGTGGAAACACGTTCCCACAGCTTCTTCTGCAGAATAGCTTCCCTGCATTTCATTTCCAAAAAGAGATATATTATGATCTGTACCACAGTCTGTCGATGGTTATTTTAATCTCAGTTCTACATGTTCTAGTAACATGCTGATGGTGCAACAACTATCATCTTTACTTAGATGCATGTTAACACCTTTAAGATTTGGGTTATCGTTTTAAGTTATGGAAGAACCAAAACACTTATAGGTGACCGGGTGAGCTCAATTAAGTGACTCAGTGGGGAATAAAAATAATGATTGAAAAGGGATTATTCTTAGCTGAGGTGCTTCACTTGAGCAGTCACAACTACTGCAACTGCACAGCTATAAATTCCAACATAGCTGTACTATGACCCTGTTAGCAGCTAACAGCGTCCCCACTCTCACTCTTTCTCTCTATGGCAGCGTGACTATAGAACAAAACCCTGAGTCCCCCTGAGTGTTGAGTACCTGTGAGACCAGAGCAGTGTTGCACCTCTCACATTTATCATAAACACACGCTCATATTTCATTAGGCTCCCCTTTTGTTCAAGCTAGCACTCCTCACTGTCAATAAGCACTATCTCCAATAGTGCTGGCTGGCTGCAGGCTGGCTAACAGGGCCACCCTTGTTCCCATCCATGGGCCATTTATCAGAGTATTGATCGGAGAAAACTGATGGCACGCACACAGGGGACGGCCACAACACCATGCATACATCTCATTTAAGCAAGGTTTTCCTTACTGTAAGTGAGGTATGACTATATATACACAAGCAGGCAAATGTACAAAGAGAAAGATCTGCAGTTTGTTTGAAAAACAGCTTTGTACACGTGGCTGCTTGTGCGCTGGACGAGCTGCAAGTAAATGACTTAACTGTCTTTTGATAGTTAAGTCTTTTGAGGCAGACAACTTTACATTGCTCCATCCCCTCAAGGTGAAATCTTATTAGGACCAATACTCTAAATAGAAAACACTAACAATAATATTAGAGATAGCAACCAAATAGAATAAATGGATCAACAGATACTTGTTCATCATTAACTTACCAGTGCTGTGGGGTCACTTGACTCAAACTAATGACTTCATCCAGGATTTCATTTTTGGCTTTTTCATAGAGTTCATTCTGCAAAAACAGAAAATGACACCTGTAATGGCTGTATTATTACTATATGCCATTTTTATTGGGCAAATGCTTGTTTTTTTTCCAATCATGTGTTTTGTTTTTCTATAAATGGCATTTATGAAAACAGGGCCACCTATTAAGATTTTTTTCATTTATACATAGGTTTTTTCTCCAGTCATTATGGCAGAGTGACGTACATGTAACTGGACTAGTTTGTGTTCCTTACCCTGTCCAGCTCTCTCAAACGAGGGTAGTTGTTCTTCCACTCTGTCTCGAGGTTGAATCGCGAGGCTGGTGAGAAGAGGGACAGCGATAATGAATATTTGCTTTAAATAAATTTTCACAACATATAGATGAATAAATATTAAATTTTATAATTCGAATAAGTAAAAGTATAACTGAAAAATAAAGGTGATATCATCAGGCCTTGTTAGAAACTCAAGCTGGTCCCCAAATTCATTTACCCTGTCATGTGTCAGGAGCTCATTTTCATGCTTGGATGAATCTTATCCCTTACATGTTTCTATTGCTTTTTCACCTTTGATGTTACGCTCCATCAAACAGCAATTCTCTACAATCAACAGGCAATGACCATACAGACAGGGCCTGCTTTGTTTTCACTTGCTATGATATAAAGGCAGCTTTCAGGTTGCTAATGGTGTCTATCCTTTAATAACAGTGGGTGAGGACTTTGCACACTCACTCTCTTAACTGGTCCCTGAGGAGGTGAGGCGATGGGGCCAATCACACACTCTTTATCAAAAGTCAGAGTTTTAGCTCACACATATTCACACAGAGACACAGAGACAAGCACACTAAGCTTACTGCCCCTTTCCACAGCTCCCTATCCACAGTGGAGATTAGGCTAATTGCTGGTTTGTGGAGCCGTGGTGGCGCCAAGAATGGAGGATGGAAGCCGGCAGCGTGTGATTTGATGGGATATGGATCGATACACAACACAATGGGCCTATGGGAACTGCAGTCTCATGGCCATAAATCTCCTCTGCTGTTAGCAATGGGCTTGTGATTGTCTAGACTAATTGTAGTTGGAGGGCAGGACGGAGGGGGTGGAGAAGTGTGGCAGGGTGGGCTGAGGAATACCAATACAGGGAGACTGAAGAGTCAGTGGTGGAGGAGCACAATCACCTGCCTCTTTAACAGTTAATGGATAAAATCATACTACTATGTCCACTTGCACGATTAAAGCATGCATTGTACTGCAAGTCGATTTGGACATAAACAGAAAAACACAAGGAAAATGAATCAATGAGACCGCTCTGGGTGAAAGAATTGTCCTAAAAGTTCTGTCTTACCTTTGAAGACATCAGCTTGCTGCTCTACAGACTCCCTGACCATCTTCCAGAAGCAGTCAGAGACAGCCAGACTCAAGTTCTTCGTGGTCACCTGGTGGGCCTTCAGCATGCCATCCCTGGTTGCATGTAGAAATTATTTGTCAACTTTAAAATTGTTTATATGATGAAGTATGAAAGGTTGTTTTATATAGGGTATAACTTGCCTCAGTAATCTGGAGTTCTGGAAAAAGTCCTCCTCATAATCTTTGATGGAATCTATGCTTTCAGCACTGCTCCCTGGACACAAGTAGTGAGGAGAACAAACTAATTCAATACAGAACAATCACAATAATAATACTGAAATTTGTGTAACTATGTGAGATAGACAGTTAAAGTTACACAGGGCAATAACTTCCCTACAAAATTGTGTATGCAAACAACAATATGACAGAAAAATCACAAAGAATCATCATCATGTTTCCTGGTTACCACAAAAGGTCTCATTAAATACAGTCAGCAGAACCGGGACATGATTTTAATGTAAGTATTTATTGATTTCAAGTAAATGCAGCATGCTTTATTACTCAGAAACAGATGTTACCTTTTCCTGTCACTACAGCAAAGTAGCCCAGGGCTTTCATGGGAAACAGTTTGCCTTCCACTATTTGCTGGATCTGAAAGAGAAGATGGTGAAGGATGGACTCAGAGTCTTCACAAGCACTGACTCGCTGAGAGACCATCCTGAAAGGATTGAGCTCCCTCTTGTGGGGTAAATTGCAAATAGTTTCACTTACAGTGGCCACCACTTCAGTGACGGTTTGAAGAAATGTGCAAATGCAGTTTTCAACTTTAGGATAATTTTCTTTTGTCTTCCATTCAACTGAGAATTGTAGTGATTATACAATAGTGAAGCTGCTACTGATTTCACCTTGCAAGTCTGTCAACGTGAGTGATCATAGAAAAATGTAGTCCTGAAGACACCTACTGTATCAGGACCTGCCACCAAGGCAGTGTTAGAAGTGCTTTGGCAGGTCGTATATGTTTGTGGTCAGATTTGTGGTTTATCTCAGTCAATGCTGTAGAGTGCCCAAGAATTACATATGTTGTGCTTTGTCACTATAAAAATAAATCTTAAGATAGATCAGGACAGATTTTGTGAATACCATAGTCAACCAACAGTGCTGTAACTATGCAAGACACAGTTGGGAAATTTTACAGGTGTGTAGTTGAGATAAAAATAAACACCAAGTTTAAAGATGGGTGTGGCTCAACCCACAAGTTTCAAGTAATGACGAAGTTTATTACGTAAGAATGAATGACAATAATAAAGACATTTGTAGACAGATCTTTGCATTCATCACAAGAATTGTTATAAAATAGGTGAATAGATGCCAAACCATTAATAGTGAGTTTGACCCTTTACACATACACAACATTTTTGTAAGATTTTTGGGGCAGTCACATGTTCTTACTCTGCTTGGGCTGGCCAGGTTCTTCTCAGCCAAATCCACTTTGGTCAGTACAAAGATGGTCCTCTTCCCCTGAGGGTCCATCTGGCTAACCAAGTCTGTGACAATGCTCCGCTCTGCATCAACGCTGCCATCTGGACGAAGAGAAACATACTCAGTCCTGTTACAGATCATCTCCCTGCTCGCTGTGATACCTGCTGGCTTTATGAATGATTGTTGTACATGGGAATGTGTGCTCATGACTCACCCTGAATACAGAGGATGATTGCGTTGGGGTTTTGCATGTAGGCCTTACTGATGCTGAAGATGGTTTCCTTAGTGTCTGATGCCATGCCTGCAGTAACCGTCTGCAAAAGACACACATCAAGGAAGTTTTTAAACACTGCTAAATCACAGGCATGTCCTTTGTAAGCAATGGTAAATCTATAAATGGTTAGCTCATAAGTAGGAAAGCTTATGTATCTTTCTTGCTGCTATCTTTCCTTGTTTATCGAGATGGGTAAGATGGGTAAAGTAAGGTGGAATCTAAGTAAGGTGGGACCTGCACCCTGTGCTTCTGTTGAGGTGGTCTAAGATAATTAAGTAACAAAAAACACATGTTCACACATTACAGTAAAGAATCCAGCACACAGTCAAAGGAATATGAAAACAATCCCACGCTAAACAATTTAAGAATGTATACTTACACTGATTACTCCTGGTAGGTCAACAAGTACCATCCTCTGGATGCCAGGGCCTTTGACACTCAAGGATATTGTCTAACGTGCAAAACACAAACATGATTATTTCTACAGAAAATTACCAAATGAAACCAGCAAATAACAGCTTTATAAGCAATCTGAATGGAGGCACTATGTCCTACCTCACAGCTGACTGTCTGCCCCTCCTTCACACTCTTCCTCATCCTCAGCTCAATCTCATGCCTCAGAGCAGCAAGCTGCAGGGCACAGGAAGAAAGAACACATAAACTGGTGTGAAGAGGCAACTGGGTTCAAGGTGTAATGCATATTACATGGATGAATGAATGACTTTGTGACTCACATCCTCCTCCTTGGTAAGATCGAACTCTCGGCCACTGTCCTTGAACAGGGCCACATGGTGGGGGCCTTCGCTTAGTGTTACCTGCAGGAAGAAGAGCACACATGTATTTAAAGTTAATTAAAACTGGATTAATACTGGGCTACTTTACAATTCCAAAATACTTTAATCTCGCTGTCATTTTATGACTATGCCATGACAACAAATTTGGCATTTTGTGTAGCTTGAATGTATGTGTGAATCTTTGTTTTTCTGTCCTTTTAAAAAAAAAAAAAAAAAAAAAGGCTGCACAATCAGTAGCCACTGTGAATCCACAAACCTTCACAGGAGACCGTGTCATCATTTCTCCTGAGCCCCTGGGAAAGATCCTGGCCTGGGCTATCATCTCGAGCACACTGGTCTTTCCAGCACTTTGATCCCCAACCACAACCACCTGAAGCACAAGAGGAAAAAGTGAGTGAGACCACAGACACAGCACACACATAGATTAATAGAGGACAAAAATGACAAAAAGAGGGCAGCTAAACCCAACGGCATGAGATCTGTGGAAATGGAAACAGGACATATTACGTGATCAGGGTCAATGTAATATAAGAGTAATGCTAGAAATTTAGTCTAGAAATTAAAAATAAATAAATAAATGAAAAAAAAAAACTTTTCAACATAAGTATGTTCCTTGAAAACTTGTGAAAAGCAAAAGCAAATGCAAAAGACTAAATGACATCATCTTAAACAAGTGGAGAGGAAACAGTTCAATAAAATTGTTTCGTAATGAAAATATACCTTCCATGAGAAAAATAACTACATTTTCTGCTTACTCTGGGTAAGTGGTCCTGGGTGTTATAGTTGGCGTCGTAGTCAGACAAGATGTCCAGGACTTCAGAATACAGGTCAATAAGGGATTTCTATAGGAGGAGACACAGTGGAAATTTATATCAGTGATATGCAGCTTTGCATTGCAATTAGTTGTCATGATCAAAGAAGGAAAAACAAAGGAGAAAAAAAATAAACTTATGCGGCAGTGTTTCAAGCAGTCTACAAAAAATCGCTGTCCCCTGCCACTCAGCATGGAGGAGAGCTTTAGGAAAGTATTCTTAGATGTGTAATGTTCATATTTGATAAAGCAACCTCAAGTAAAGCAAAATCCACACAAGGGAAAAGAGAGAAATTTAAAAATTGTATTTGTGTCTGTCACTGTGTTTAGTGGAGTTGTTTACCTTCACTTTCCTTTGGTGAATCCCCTTATCATCTTTTTGCAGCACCACTTTCCTTAATTCTTTGTTTTCCTTCTCCAGTCTCTCCAGCATGCGCTGATACTTTAACTAAGGGATAAACAGTAGCATCCCATCAACAATTAGCACCTGTAACACTGTAAACACAAGGCTTTTCTCCAAAACTCACTAGTAGTATTTGATGTAGTTGTACAACTAAAGGATTTTTGAGATGAACAATTATCCATTTGACTTTCATGCCATTTGGATCACAACCTACCTGGGTACGGAGGAGTTCTTCTTGAAGCTGGTCTATCTTTTCTTTGTCTGATGACTAAAGGTCATAGTAGAATCAATGAAAAAGAACAGCAACATGTTGAATTAATGCTTCCTTTCTGTTTCGAAAATAAATGCTCCCAGTTACTCTTTCAGTAAAGTTTCACAAGAATAAAATCCCACCAGCACCACAAAGGTTTGTGCACACTGTATCACAGAGAGAACCAAATTTGAGAGTCACGTTAATGCATAAAGAGAGGAACAAAATTTTCAGGCAGACATTTCTCATTCGAGTATTACTCAGCTTTGATCAACAAGCTATGATTCACAAACAGGCACAAATCACAGAGTGAGCCCAGTAAAATCTCGCTGAATTAAAACACAAAATCATTTAGTCGTGACAGCTTGCTTTTTCATGATTGAGACCTGATTGTAGATTTTACACAACTGCAACATGTTTGTTAGGATGAGAGGCAGAACAGGAAGCAGAAGACACAGCAGACATGAACAAATGGGACTGGCAGCACCAGAAAAGGAATTTAACAGACAGACACACCAAACTACTTCATCAAAAACTATTTCTATACTAGACAACAAGGACAATAGATGTGCTTTTAGATACCAACTAGCACTGTGTCGAAAAGGTGTATCAAACAGTTGTGATTATTTGTTATAAAGAGGCTTATTTGGGCGCTACAAACCAGCTCTACCTGGCTGTTGATGAAGCAATAATCTTTTTTAATAAAAGTTAGGTCCAGTCATGGCAGTCTCAAAAAGTGCAGCTCACACCATGCAGCATGTTGCCACTCCACTCCATGCCGTGCTTCCGTACATTAATGAAGTACTGCTGATGAGTATCCAGCCATTTGCGTTAGAGAATGAGTCTGAGCTCGTCGGCATTTTTCTAGACTAAGCTATGAAGGTCCATGCATGCCCCTCCTACAGCGCACTGGCAGACCAAATCTTAGCACATTTTGACAGACTACGGGGTGATACGTGGAGACTACTGTTGGGTACTGACGGGGATAAACGAAAACAGATTGATAGTCTAGTTCATCTGTAGATTAAAATAATTTTTAAATGTTACAAAACGTATCTAAAAGCCCTGACACATTGGCTTAAGTAGAGGGCAAAACACGCACCCGTGTAAAATAGAATGAATTCCAATGAAATAGCAATCCAACAAATACTTTAAAATACTAGTTGGTTTAAATGTGTTTCATTTGGTTTTAAAATCCTGTTGCTATTTTCTACACAGTAGATATGGTTGAACAAAAATGGATAATTAAAGGCGTAACAAAGACTGTATTTGTTGCATGGCCACAAAGCGGCTAATAGAATTCAAATAAAATATACAGCTGTGAACAAGTCTATGTTATACATTGTCTTTACACACGCTTGTGAAGACCATGTAGTCTTGAGTTTCCAATGACTCCTACGACTCTTAATTTTCTGTCATGAAAACATCGACACATGTGCATTTCTTTTTCCACAACAAAACAACTGTGCATTTTGATTCTTTCATAGATTTATTAAAGGTCTTCTAGAAATATGACAAAATCTGCTGGGTCAAAAATATGCCAATATTTCCTTAAATGTCCCTTGGTCATTTTCACCCTAAGTAGATGCTTTGTTTGTATCTTTGCCACTCCTCTTGATAGAATTGGTGCAGTTCAACTAAATTTGGTGGCTTTCTGACAAACGTGTCTTCAGCACAGTGCACAGACTCTCAGTGGGGTTTAAGTCAAGACATTTTATGTAGGTCAGTCTAAAACTTAATTCTTCAGCCACATTTTTACTATCTTCAATGTGTGCTCCAGGTCCATGTCTTGTTGGAACACCCAACTACATCCAAGACCCAAACTTCTGGCTGAGGATTTCAGGCTTTTCTCAAGTTGCTATATGTATATTTTTGACCAAGTTGATTTTGTCATTTTTCCAGAAGACTCTATGAAAGAGCCAAAATGCATGACTGCTTCTTGTGAAGCATGTGTTCAATGATTCTATCATAAAAAGCTAAGAGTTGGAGTGATTGGAAACTCCAGACTGCCATGATATACATGGTCTTCATGAGTGTATGTAAGCTATTGTTCACAACTGAATACGTATAGTCTGCTCCTATGCGCTAATCTTTATGGAGCCACTGGTAGGATAGGGCAAATCTAAGTGGGGTGGGACCTTCACCTTGCGTTTCTGTTGAGGGGGGCTGGGGTTCGGAGGTGGACTGGGAACAGGCTCTGGCGGTGGGGGACGCGCACTATTGGCAGCAGCGGCCCGCCGGACTTCTTCCTCGTGCCGCTGGATCTGCTGCTGAATAAGAATGAGCTCCCCAAGCAGACCCTGCTGGGGCACGTCATAGTGAGAGAGAGGTGGGAGGAGCAACAAAAACAACAACCGGCCACTGGACTAGTCAGTCTCACAGGCGAGTGCTGCGCCCCAACACAGGGCTACAACAGAGGAAACATGACCTGCGTCTCATTCGCTGGCACCGGTGTCGTTTCGGCTGGAGAATCATAATTTAGTCAAGGCTTATGTTTGAAAGGTCTTTGGCTTTGGTAATCTTGCCACCATCATCAGTGCAACGCAACAAAGTCAGTCTCTCGTAAACACTGACAGGAGATGCTAAACCTTGCTAGACTGAAGGCAGAAGAGGCAACTAATACCACAACCAGTGCCTCTCAGCGAGTGGCAACAACAGTGATTCTGTTGTTTTTCCTCACCACCATGCACCAGTGTGGGACAATGACTATAAGTTCACCATGATTCCAACAACACTTTAACGGAAGGGCATGTTTTGACAGTATAAAATGCTAGAATACAGTAGAAATTCTGGTTTCATGGTAGCTGTAAAATGACCAAGCCCAAAATTCTGACCACAGTGCTTTAATGTGCTGCAACACAATTGGTCTGATGGTGCTGAAGATGATTATAAAAAAGCAAAGCAAGCATAGGGTACTGATCTAATGGGATGAAGCACAAAGCATACTGAATAGCAGGTGAAATCTGCCTTAGTTCAGGGGTCCCCAACATGACGTCTTAGTCAAATCTTGTGCTGGGTTTGCTTTTTCACTCTGTGAAATGTGCATATAATACCTGGTAAATGTAACATGAAGAGAAATATCAACTTGTAAAAGTCATGTTGTGTTCATGTTGGAGACCATGATTGCAGACTAAAAGCAGGAAATAGGAAAGGAATGTCGTTTTTTTAAATGCATCTCTTTTTAAATGTCAAACCATCAAATCATTTTCCTCTGTTTAAACTTTGTAAAATGTTAAAACACACAAAAAACATTGAAATATAGAAAATAGAGACACTGAAACCACTATGGACAAAACACCAGATGAACAAGAAAGAGAAAGGACAACAGAAAAAAAAACAAATGCACATTTGAAGTGCTTCGTCAGAGAAAGTTACATAATGTGAACCCATAAGAAAAAGGTTGTGTCCATGAATGAGACTTCTGGGGGGAAAAAATAGGAAGCATGATAAGCAGTAAGGCAAAGGTAAAGTAAATTGTCACACACTTATCAGTGTGTGTAAACTCCCAGGTTGGACGGAGACGTTTCTCACTACAGTATTGCCAAAGGAACTAAAACATTTATCAGTACTATAGGCTGGTGTAAAACTTAATAATAATTAAGTTAAACAACCTATATGATCTTTGCTGCCAGATCTCTAAAACTCTGGGAATCAGTGCATTTAAAAATAATGTCACTTGAACAATACAAAATCATATTAACATGTTGATTCAGTTGACTACAGTTCCTGGCACTGAAGTGAAAAGCATCCAAGCTGCAGGCAGGAGCTGAGTGAGGCCGAGCTGTGATGGCGTAGAGAGCATGAACGCTAAGAAGTGTCAACAGGTTAGGAAACTTGCCTTTTTGTACTGCTTGTCACTGGCATCATGTGCTGCTGCAGTAGAAGAATCTGTGGCTTTTAGTTGAGGATCGCCTGAAGTTTCTACCAGAGGAGACAAAACACCCAACAATAAGGTCACTAATGAAAACGCATCAAGGCGACTGCATGCTGAATATAATGAGGCTCAGGAGACAATACTGCCTATAGCTTTCAAATAAAGCATGCCTGTGATTAGAGGAGTAAAGACCAGTGTGATTAAAATTCAAATGTTTGGAAAATGTTGCACCAATACATGAACATATGTAGGATATATTCAAAACACATTAAACAAAATAAGTTAATACATTTTTTTCCCCCTAACCACTAAAAATATCATCAAAATATGGTATTCTTTGAGCAAATTTAGAAACATAAAATCAAGATTCATCATCTCTAGGAGTGTTGACAGAAAATGGAAATGTGGTAGATGGTTCAGTTTAGGTAAATGTTTGGACACCCATGACAGAGACTTTGACTTATGTACTTTCATAGGACAACATGGTTACAGTTAATGTAGGTATCCAAATAAATACTAAGACACACAAATAAAAAAATAATTTAAGAATTGACATCTTTAAGCATGTTAATTTAAAACACTCATACTCAAAGGTCCACAGGTACCCTATAAAAAAGTGTCTGACTTAAACTTTTATGATGGGAATTACCATGCTGTTATTGCCATGCACAAAGCAAAGTCTTCTTAGTCGTATAAATGAGGCAGATGTTTACAGAGAGAGAGTAAGTACATTGAATATAAAAATATATACTAAAACACTATATGTAAAAACTTGTAATTGTAACAGAAAAGTATTACATACATAATAGTACTTACAAAACAGTACATAACTAAGAGTGCAGGGACACGCCTGTGCTGTTTTGATGACTCACAGCAGAGGTGTGGTCCCGTTTGGCCTGGAAAGCTTTTGTATAAATGACTTTAGAAGACTAGCTACCACTGTGCATTACCTTCATAGCCTTAAACTGTTTTACGTTTATTTATTACTGTTAAATTAATCTATATCACATATTTGGCATCATTTATAAATAAAAACTGGTATACATTTGCATATGGCAAGCATTTAGAAGTGAAACAGATGTCCTTAGTCAGCTGTATTTCATGTGCATTTTCCAAACATTTGAGTGCCAACAGCTAAAGCCAAAAATAGATCGCCTCAAAGATTAGCGATGAGAATGTCATTGAAGAAAGCAGAAACCCATAGAGGTCAGGTGAGAGAAAGGGTAGAAGTCAAAGGAAGCAAAAACCACACTGGTAGGACACAGTACAGCCAAGGACAGTCAGGTTAAAGAAAGTAAAAAGGGAAGAGGGGGACAAAGTACAGGCAAACAATGAATCTGCAGCTCCAGATCCTTTGCACAACGTTCTCTTTTACTGCATTTGTGTTATGAAATAAAGTAGGGAATCGTCACCATTCAAGTTCTTTTAGGGTGTTGAGTGACTTCAGAAAAGAGGGAGAGAAATCTAAAAAGAAAGGCTTTTCCTGAGTCAGGTAAACAGATGTCAGCCACATACTGGCTGCAAAAATAGGCATAGTCCCCTGCATACTCCAACATGAGACCTTTAAACCCTCTGAATGTCCTACATTTAACTGAATAATGAATCTGCATGAACCATGAACAACGCCATTGTTGACAACAGTGCTGGTCTGCAAACTGGTAGCCAAGGCCTCAGGAAGATGCTCTGCTACCACCAAACCATGGCGATGTGTTGGCACAACAGTGGTCAAACAGCGACAGGAAGAAAAGAGGGGCAGCGCTACTGAGTGCAGGGTTTACACACCTAACAACAGATGCAGACCAGAAGCTCCTTTGACTTCACTACCCAAACTCACACCTGTGAAGAACGTGGAGGAGGACAGGAGGGTGGGGGAGGAGGAGAAAGGAAGAACAACACAAGATAAAAATCATAAAAGACAGAAGCAGAGGGATGATGGTCAATGCAGGGACTCAGCTACATGGTGTGTATTAATACGAAGCCGCTGCTGTGGCAGAGCGTCGAGCAAAGTAGTTGCTGATTAGGAACTGGTAAAAGAGATGAGTACACCCTCAGCAGTAGCCAAGTGCTCTATGAGCCCAAAATGGCATATTTTGTCATGGCAGCCAATCCAGAGTTTATTTAAACGGCATTTCATTGAATGCCAAGAGATTTGTAGGAAGAATGCAATATTTATTAGACTAGTCTCTACATGGGCTTTCAGAGGAAAATAAAAGTAATGAATTCTTTCATCTTTTCAGGAACAGGCTTGTACTGTGGCAAGATGAATTATCATAGACAATACAAAGCATTTTTGATGTTAGTGTTTGAAATATATATAATGATATAATGAACATGACAATATTTAATTTGACATCAGTCCACAGTACACTTGCTCCCCTCTGAATAAACCCTTTGTAGAACCCTTTAAAAAAAAACACAACAGGCAGAAAGGCTGTAGCAGAAAAGCAGCAACTTACAAAATGAAACAAGCTACGTGTTTTGTCACAACTCTAAGTCTGTACTATCTTATTCTGTTAAGGTCACATCGAAGTAGGACAGACCAAAATACAGTACACAGAGCATGATACCATACACAGAGCTTGATAAGATACATGGAGTATGATACGGGGACAATGGTGGAAGCCAATTAAAATGTGGCAAGCAGTTTTTCTCTTCAGTTCAAACCTGGACTAGACACTCTAACGTCTGCACATGCTGCTTTTGTTAATATGCAGTAACTTTACAAAGGCATAGCTGATACTTTGTGCACTCACCAGAGGAGAGGAGGCTTTTAAGGAACGTGAAGTTTTCTCCTATTTTGTCCATGTCAGGTAGTAGTTTGACAATTTCTTCTATCTCTGGTAGAGCTTTGGCCAGTTTATCTGCAGATAAATTTACAAGTGGAGAAGACAGTGGTGAGTTACATCTCATGATGCAGTAAGAGGAAGACAATGTCATTAGTGTTAAAACACTTACCGAGGTCAATCTGCTCACTTAGTTCCCAGACAAAGTCAGGAATGACCCAGTTGTATTCACTAAAATCAGGCAGCATGTCCTTCCACTCCTCATAGGTCTGCAAATAAAATGAAAAGCCTTTGTCACTTTTCTGTGAATGAAAGTGTCATCAAAGCTAGAACAACATGCCAATGCATTAGAATGACTAATGGAGAAGTTCCTGAGAACAAATCCTGTTGCACTTGACCAAATGAACAAAACTAGAATGGCTGGTAACTCTTAATATTCAATACTCAAATACTTCAAATACTCAAAACTGACCTTCTTGGCTGTGTACCCTCCTCCGACTGCTGAGCCCAGCAGGATGTATCTGAGCTTTAACAGTCGAGCAGCGAGACGGGCCACCCAGAAGTTGCGCTGCTGCTGGTAGCCACGGCCTCCTGAACCTGGGGGAGGCTTGGGTGGCCGCATGGGCAGCCGAGACATAGAGGTAAAATAGCGGGCTGCTGTGCGATGAGGAGGTCGCTGAGGGTTGGCGTTTCCCGAGTAGCGGTGATGGATGGCACGGGACAGAGGGTGCAGCTTCTGCAGCGGTACCCGAAATCGCACCCCCATGTTGGTGGAGACCAGGTTCCTGCAGGCCATGCTGTGGTGACAAAGACATTAAACAACACATTACACAAGCTCAACTTCCTCATGTGCCGATGTAATCTCAAAGGAAGTTTCTAGTCATCACCCCTCTTTATCACTGATTATACATGTACTGTCCAACTAGTAAAATAAAATGTAACTTTGTTCCCAAGAGGAACAATATTTTGTTGCCACAGGAAGCAGCAACACACATGCAAAGTGGAGATGGTAGTTGTTTCTTATTCACTGACACTCCGATGCCCAAGCTTCAGTGAATGCAACAGTGGTGTCCCAGTGCAAGTAAAAGCAGCATTAGACCACCATAACGGTTGTGCATAGCAGCAGCACGTTGTGTGTCCCATCTATAAACATCACAGAGAGTGCAAAAGACACAGTTTGTGATTTTAGTTGATGGAGGCGCACACAGACTTGTTGCTTCCAACTGTTTTATAGAAGTCTTTCCTTTTAGTTCAATAAATACCTTCAGCATCAGACAGCAGTAGAAACCATACAAGAGTCTCTAAAGCGAGAGAGGTGTGCGCAGTTAGCAATAATTATAAAATTAATTTTGGGAGATAGGATCAATCAGGATATACTAGTAAATAACACTGTGTACTTTTCTTCAGCTGAGACAGGTGAGCTGTCACACAGAGAGACAGTTTATCAGCTGCATTTGTTACACAGTCCTGAGCTCCATCACAGCTGCATATTATTTTACTGTTATAGTCTGTTCTGTTTGCTAAAATCACATTATTTTACCAAAATATCAAGTTTTATTATTGGGGACTTTGTGCCATTTTACTGCTGTATATTTGCAACAGTGACATTATTGTGTGTATTATTGAGGTGACCTCTTGAATCAGTAAAGGAATTAACAAAATACAGCAATGTAGCGTAACAATTACAACACAATCTATTGCATCGTAAGAGGCTGTATATATAATACACTAAATAAATCATCATAAAAAATGGACAGAATATTCAGTATTAAAATCATAAATATTATTTGGTGATTTTGAACAGGGGCTCCTCCTAATAACTAACCTGTATTGGTCTATGCACATTAGATAATTAGTAGGTTTAAGACAAAATGTATAATAGAATTTCCGTATTCACCTAGTTTTTAACAAGATTCTGTACAGCTACTGTATAATATAATTCCTAAAATATCGTTTTGGATTTTGATTCTGGTGTGCAGCCCCATGATTGTCAGTGAGCCCATCTTGGCAACCATATGACAGTTTATGGAGGCACCCCTGAAGGGTAAAAATAAAAGGCAACTTTAACGTTACCTAACACGTTCAAATTCATCATATTAAGGAGCCAAAAATGTATTACTATCAAGTGCTTAGCTAAACACAAATTACGGTGAATAAAATACAAGTCATGTCAGACCATTGTGTGCTGTCAACCAAGTCTCTGCTAACACCAGACTGTCGTGGTCAGACAGTCAAAAACACTAACACCCGGGTTAGCTAGCTAGCTAGTCAGTTAGCTGGCTAACCAACGTCAACCTCCACAACAGCAGCACCCCATGATAACCATGTCAATGACGGATTGTGGATTAATGTTATGCACCAATTAGCCATAATATATTTTTTAAACTGTCTTTTCGTCTAGCGGCTCAGCTAACGTTATTTAGCCGGAGCTAGCCTGCCTGTCCTCAGCTGTCAGAAGGAGCAGCTACATATGGTTCCCTCACAGCACAGCTAGCACCGACCAACCGTTACCTCCGGTAAATGGAGACTCACCAGGCGGCTTTGCTCCCGACACGCAGCATGGTGCCGTTAACAGCGGCTAAACGTAAATCTCTGTCAAATTCACTCTTCAGGCACAGTTTAATTCATCTTTCCAAATGGTACACATTTGCTTGCCTGTTCTGGCAGCTAACTAGCTCGTTAGCTAACAAGGACACAGCCAGAATGACAGTCCACTTCCTGTGAACGGTACCACCTCAAAATTAGCCCTGACGAAAAAAAATAAGCAGTGAATTGGTTCCTATGTAGTACGTTTTTTTTAAAAGACGTTCTTTATCCCACTGACTACAGCACGATAGCTTCTCAGATGCTACCCTCTGAGTCAGGATGTTGACATCCACGATAATTCCCACCACTGTTCGGTGTTTGCCCCCTTTAGCTGTAACACCTCCGCTGCAGCACCAGCTTAAGCCTCTGATCGTGCAGCTGTCAGGTTCAGAGGTCCACCATCAGCCCTGCGCACTGAACCCTGCAAGACTTGTACATCTGTGTGCACATTAAAACTGTGTAGGAGGAGATATGAGCTTTAAATGTTGGACAAATATAGGATAACATTTTGTGAAATGACTTGAACCACTATTTGTAAGATCATCAGATAGTATTTTAATTAGTCAGATTAACCTCCATAACAGTTGCACTATAGGGGTTTAGCCTTTATATTTATTATGGTAAGGTAAAGTGGTCTTATTTGTATTTTTGTGGGGGTTTGAGCACTGATATTTGGGTTAATAAGGTAAATTGACATCACGGATAACACTGTGGGGTCTTGGCCTCAATATTTGGGCTCGTTGTGATTCATGGCATCAGCCTTCATTTTCACAGGAAAGTACTTTGGCTCAAAAGCTGTTGCTTTAAATGTAATATATAAATAGCAAGGACTTGACTTACTGTAATGCATATAAAATAAAATAAAAACTAACTTTCTATCATCTGTGCCGTAGATTTCTGTCACCAATTGTGTGAAATCCTCTCAAGCAGTTGTAGAAACTTTGCAGATTTATGAGTTCATGAGGTGGTAGAAAAGTAGGCAGTACACTGAGGGCTACTTGTCAGCTGTACTCTTACATGTAAATGAGCAAACTGATAACAGGTTTGATAAAGATGGTGATTTGAATAAGCAGGTACAATTCAGACCTATTAAGAACTAACTGCAGTTGATGACTCACAGACACCCGGTTACATGCTGAAAATGTGACTACAGTCAGTGTGACCTCAGCTGAACTGCTGCACATCATTGTTATTTAGATCAACAACAAAGTTGACAGCGTCACACAGGAAAATCCAAAGATCCACACATTTATGATCTGTGGATGTCACTCGTTTTCAGAAACTAAAACATTTAAAATACTACCACAACGCTACTCAGTGAGCAATGTTCTGCTGGTAACTTGACGTGCAGCCATATTTATCAAAGGTAAACAATGGCTGCAAGTTGACTGAATTCAACAGGCCGTGTCATCTGAATGCTTCTTCAAAGGAAAGATCCCACTCAAGGAAATCTGACTGAGTGTAGAACCTTAAATCTCTTTTCATTTTAGGTTTTAATTTACTATATTTTAAAATGTTTATGATTTCTTCCAGATTCACGTTACATCATTTTCAGTGTGGTTTCAGACTTTTGGACCTTTACTATATGTCCCAACAAGGGGGACGGTTCTTCCAAAGTCCACATTTTTTTTTGTTTTAATGCATCAGAAAAGGGCAATAGGGCACGTCATGTTTAAACGAGATATATGATGCCTGAAATGGGAACACAAGCTGTATAATCTTGTAGCCCTCAGTTTTCCACAATCCTTCATGTGCTGCTGATGTTTACATTTAGATTATTCCTTTTAGCTTGTTAGGTATTCTGTGAACACCTATTTATGTTACTGCACTAGTTTCAATTGTGTAAACTCCATAAATATACTGGTGCTACATATTGGTTACTTAAGGCTTAATCACTAAACATATAATGAAGTTTCTGTAGTTCTTGCAGCATTGTGGAATCCCATTTATGTCCAACAGAACAGAAACAAATTGTGTACAGACCAGTAGACGGCTGCTTTGAGAACATTTATTGAAAAGAAAGAAATCAAGATAAATCTGAAATACAATCCTCAGGGAAAATGAAATTAAAATAAATACAAAATAAATTATAAAGTACAAAAATTTTCCAAAAAATTTACATCTCTGCCGATAAAAAAGAAAAAACATATAGCCCAGGCGAGCCTCTTGCTGCGGTGTGGGAGCTGCAGAAAACAAGCACGCCAAATAAACCCCAAAGAGTTGACAAACAGATGGACTGTAATAAAAGGTTTTAGCAACAGTATATTTTCATTCAGTTTGGGTCTCAAATTGTATTTTATTCCTCTCTTCATTACAAATAGACACGGTTCCCTGAGGAAACAACACCCACATGAGTCTTTATTTACTCAGTGGCAGATTCAATCCAAATGTCATTCGATGGTTCGTTTCAAATACATGACGTGAATAAGAGGTCGATACTAACTGAATAGTCAGTATGTGATGTACCTGTATAAGAGCATCGAGGTTTCAGCATATAATGCTCTGCTTTGACACAGCTGTGTTACAATAAAAGGCAAAACTGTAGCATAGAAGAGAAGCAATAGTAGTATTTACACTTTTTAAATTAATCTTTCTGTATCAAGGTGCACAGTTAGGACACAGCTGAGACTGAATCTTTTTGCTCCTAGCAGCAATATAATCACTTCTACAATAGATCGCTGATATTGAACAGCAATGCACATTCTGCTTGCCAATTACATTTTAACATTACATGGATGCAAAAAAAAAAAAGAGTTTAAAAAAAAAGATCTACACATAAAGTAAAATACAAACATTGGATGATCAGAAAGAAAAGATTGTCAGATGTTGCTTAAATTCTGAAAGCGCAGAGCGGAGGCGCAAAACACACTGCCGCTAAATTCCCTTCTTGTGTCAGATTCTCAGATTAGTACAAAGTACTGAGGCAAAAGAAAAGAAAACCAAAAGCAGACAGACAGATGTACTTTAGGAAACTTAAGAGACAAACTGCAGAGACAAAACTGTTCCATTTAGGATGGCTAAAGTTCAACTTCATTCGAACTCTAAAATAGACATTTGCTGCATTTTGTTTACCCGAGACAAAGCAAATACTGATGCACAAGTCCCGATCATACTTTGCAATAACTGATTCAAAACATGAAATAAATGCCCAGGATTGATGCCCACAAAAGAAAGATCCAAGATAAAGCAACTCCATAACAAAAGTGAAAGTACAAATAAAGCCCAACAGACAGTACAAATCAAAAGTAGACAACTGATTGTACACAGTACCAAAAAAGTGGAAAAAGACACACCAGCCCTTTGATAATTAAAAAAAAAAAAAATTATAACTAAATATTTTTTGACTTTTATGCACACGTTAGAAATGTACATCTCATATATACAGATAAAATCCAACCTCTAATAATATTATTATCACCCCTTAAAGTCCACCTCTGCTATGTCAAATCAATTGACAGAACTGGCTACAGGCTAAAATTAAACTTTTCTTTCATTCTCCCTCTACAACCAGTACAAGTGTGATGAAAAGTCTTTGGAAATAAAATCAATAACTGTAGTATTGCATTGCATTAAATTTTGTTCTTTACACAACATTCAATCTTAGCCTCAGTAGGTATCCAGAGAAAAAAGCAAAAATAAAAATACCACTGAATAACTCAAAAGCAGAGAAACTGGCATGGTTTTTTATGACCAGTGTTTGGGCACATCAGCAGCGTCGTTTAAATCCAACAGGAATAAGTTTTGATGACATACTGGATGAGAATCACTCTGCAAAGTGGCACAAAACTGTCAAGTTTGAACCACGTTTTGCACTTCTCATCTGTACACATCATCATCACCACATCCTTCTAACGCTGACAGTTTACCCACAACATAATAATAAACAATGCATCCATGGAAACTGTGGTTACATGTTAACTCATCTTGAAAACAACATGGAGCTCACTTTTCCTATGAATGTGAAATGTTACTACATATATCTCAACAGACAATGGCTTTTAGCAACTGAGCGAATCTTGGTGTAACTAATATGATATTGGTATTACAAGAAATGTGCTGCGATTTTGTTTCTATATTGTGAATAATGAATAGTCAACGGACGAGATAAATGCAATGCCGTGTGACATACATGACAGAGTGTCAGAAAGTACAGCGCTGTTACTGGATGTCTGAGACGTTGTTTGCTTAATTTTTCCAGGAGGACAGCAACATTACATTTAGTGTGACATTCTTTTGACATGGCGTCACACAACCACTCATAAGGACTCGGAAAATACTGAAACTACACGATTCATGAAAGGTAGACTGCTATGCAAAGTATACACTTACACTGATACTGGTAATCTGTTGCATGTGAGTCGCAATCTTTGTTTTAAGGTGACACTTCACTGGAAATCTTTCTTTTTAAACACCATCAGCTTTAAATGTGGTTTTAAAAAGTTTGCAATTTCTCTATTTTAATGGCTGAAATTGAAAATAAAAGCTCTTCAAAGTCCTATCTTGGAGTATAACCTGCTTCTCCGGTGTACTGCTTCATTTCCTCAGTATGTCACTATGGAGTCTGACTGAATTTCCGCCATCAGGTTTCGTGAAGGATAAAGCTACAAACTTTAGAGCTACATTCAAAGTCTAGTGAGTCTAATGAGTGAGTGTAAAAGAATCGGTTTCCAGGAGCATCACTTTAAATGTCAAAGAAAGAGCAATGAACATAAAATATAGCCCTTAACTCTCTATGCAGGTAGTCTATGTGTAATACATGGATACAGCTGTGTAATCAGCATACAGTTTATGCCGGCTGTGCTGTTACATGGATGCTTTGAAATAGCCGTTAGTGGCACGTCGATGAGATGCACAATTTTTTGCCTTAATTTACTTGGTATCACACTTATAATCAGTCTTCCATAGGAAGAAATCTTCTTTAAAAAAGGACATTTACTAAGTACTTCTAGATTTCTGCAGCCAATCTCTAGGGAGTTTGAAGATGTAGGACGCTTTGATTCATATGGTCTCATGCATGTGGTTAAGTGTCCAAGACAACCTGCCAGATGCATGCTGTTTCTGGTACAGATTTTTCTTGTAGTACAGTGATGGCAATGTAAATGTAGCTTAATTCTACAGTAATGATGTATATTTGTAGTAATAGTTCTAGTATTGCAACCATCAAGTCTTCCGAACACGGCGACAGGGTGCTGGCTTCATGCAAGTCTTTGTATGTTGTCTGCTGACAGGACATGGCTCATAGATGCAAACACAAGGTTAAGGGTTTGTAGCTACGTTCACAGCCCATGAGCATACAAAGCCCATTACATACTAGAAAACATATTGTGACAGATGAAAAGTACAGACACGTCTGAGGCAGAGCAAGTGAGGCAAAGCAGCATGGACTGAGGGAAGGTGCAAGAGGGAAGGTCACGCTGGTATTAGCATGTGATGCTAACACTTACCATGATAGAGTAATATGTTAGCATGCTATGTTAGCATTAATGTCAAAGTACAAAATACTGTTATGGTTGACAAGTATTCAGTCATTAATTTAGGGGGATCCTGGTATTATACAATAAAATTGTCACAGAGAGAAAAACATATCTGAGTTCATGATGAGATATCATCTCTCTTTTGTTCTTTTTTTTGTATTTCTATCCACCCATATCTTTGTTAAAATCCCTGCAGTTCAACTCAGACCCAATGGACACCTTGCCACAAGTCCCAGCCTGCACAAGTACATCCATCTTCCTCACTGTTCTCTTTAAGTCCTTTACTTTGAATTTTACATGCCAGGTCCTACATGTTTTTGAAAGCTGTGACTAAATTATGAGGAAAAAGCCACCTTTTTTGTTGTTGATCTGTTTTGATTTATGTATTTTGTGATTAAGTCATGCAATTTTAAAAATCCACTTACCCTAAACCTTCCTTGCCTAATTGCAACCTAAAAAAATAATATTTTTCTACATTTCATTGGATTTCAATAAAAGTCTCCAAGGACAACAGTATGATTTTAAAACTAATAGTGCAATTTTCAAGCCCTATACATAATGTAGACATATTTCGATTTATTTTCTTTACTTTTTCAAATGTGTAATCTGCCTTCGACAGTCAATAGGATATGCATATATATGCATATACAAACTTGAAAACAATATTGACTGCAGCTATTCTAAGACTCCAAACTAACAACTGACTGAATGTTGGTCTCAAATGAGTAATTTCATTCATTTCTGGGAATCATTGTGACCTTTAAACTCCTTTTTGTTTACATGTCTATGCTCTCTGATGAGGGGTCGCCAGGTGGTTAAGCTCCCACATGAAAACGTTCCTATGTATATGTACATTAGCTGTATAAGACCACTACACAGTAGCAATAGGACTCACACCAGCTATGGCCTGCGAACACCTGCTGAGAAGCACAGAGTGGAATTTTGATGCTTCTTGCGGCTGTATGATCAAATCCATCCCCACATTTTTACATCCATCAACAGAATATCCCAGCTCTACGTGCTTTGCTTCCATCACCTTTCTCAAACTCTTACACACTCGTTCATTATCAATCAATCCTTGTACGCACGTTTTCAGAGCCAGTCAAATTGAGTTGACCTTTGGAAGGCCAACGTACAACCCTTCTTCATTCTATTTTATCCTATACGTACTTCTCCATCGTCTGTCAGTGCTCTCTGAAAGAATTGCAGAGGCCATTTTACTCGAAAATCTAGAACTGCGGTAGCTAATGAAACCTGAAGACCTTGTAAATTATAAAAGTAATTACTTCTTGCATTCAAACAACTTTGATCCGATAGATACATGAGAGGATAGCGCTGAAGTGTAGTGGGACTTGGGCTCTCTTTTACACCTCCGTTCACACAGACAAAGTGAGGGGACGTTAAACCTGTATTGGCAGTCGACTTGAAAGGGTCAATGCACAAATTTGACCTGGTTTATCAGCCCTCCTCCCAGCCTAAGCCCAATGCTGCTCAGCTTTGGGGACCAGACATTGCAATTGAGGATGGGATTTAAACATGATGGTAATAATGCTTAAAAGACATTTCATGACATGCAAATGAAACCTGAGCACGTGCGATGGGGTGAGCCAGAGAGAGAAGAGTACTGAAACAACTAAACCTTAATTGTATTTGGTACTTGTGTGTAATCTTATGGTTTCTGCAGTAATATTGCAATATTGCAGTACTAGACGCAAGAATAGTGAAGACAAGCAATTATCTGGTGACGCTTCCATTTAAATAAGGGTATTTACTAAACACACCTCGTATGCATGTCTCCTGTATGAAAAGTGGAGATTGGATAGTAGTGGGAGCTGTGGGGGTGCTAGGAGTTGATTATGATCTGATAGTCAGAGCCATTTTCTGGGCGTGGCTTGGCTTCGGTGGTGGTGGTCGGCTTTGGAGGCCAGTCTGGATCCACACTGAGCTCCTGGGCCAGATGCATGTAGCGAGCTTTGGGCGCCATCTTGCGTGGGCAGCAGATCCGGGACAGACACTTGTACGCTCGCAGGTCAATGACTCCCTGAAAACATCACGGCATCAAAGACAAACAAATGAATGAAACCAAAATGTCACATGAAGGAAGAAAGAGGAGAGACAAAAGACTCCGTGAAAAGGTGTCATGCTTTGTCCCGATTTTCTAACCCACTTTTGCTAACAAATCAGTCGCATGCTACTCCAACTATATCATGCATAATATTGAATTGAATAAGCACCATTGGATTCGCAATACGCAGGCATATTTCTTTACAATAGTTAACTGCAAAAGTTTGCATGCATGCAAGTCATTCAAAAGAAAATTCAGCATGATAATAGTTTAAAGGAGTTGGCAATAGACAGTTTAACAACTGAGCCTACTCCTTAAAAACAAGCTCATGGAGTCAAAGATCAAACAAACCAAGGATTCCACAGCAGATCTTCACAAAATAATAATTAAAAAAAAAAAAGAATTAAAATTTGATCAATTAACCCTTCAATGACAAAGACATTTAAGTGTCGACTGCATCGGCTTCAAACATGTCGTACGTGACGGAAAATCTAAAAGCTAGCAGGGAAGCTAACAGGTAAGGGCAGCAAACAGAGCTCATTAGGGCTGACAGACTGGAATTGGAGGTACAGTAGACGAGGGGAAGAAGAATGGGAAGCAATGGGAGATATCCAAGGCTTGGAAATGGTTTTCTAACAGTGACTTACTGTAGCTGATAGATGTGATCTACATTATAGAAGCACATATAGAAACTACACACATACAGCAAATTTAGTCATACTGTGATGTGTGTCACCACCTTAACAGTTTACTTCCATCACTGCTGGAATCTAAAGACTTCTTCTGTTACTTTTTTATATTTTCTGCAACTGGTTAGAAAAAGAAGTAGTGCAACAGTTCCAGCATGTGACCTCATGGACCTCAGACTGCTTCCTGTCTAATCCCATTCTGACTGACAACTTTCATTTCCTTAAATTTTGAAATTCTGAAATGTAAAAACTAGAAAGTAACTGTGTAAAGGCCCTCTTCTCAGCAACAACCAGTAGCTTTAAACTTCAAAACACATTAAAAAAATTATACGAAGTGAAGTATTTGTCTTCGATTGTGAGCGTTATCACACCCCGGAGAGGGAGGCAGCAGGGGCACACAGATCAGAACGACACTGGGGGGTCTTGCACATGCATGTCTTGGTTAGCAGTTACATTAGAAGGTGTGCTTCGCAACATTAGAGAAAGAAGTGGGGACAGAGAGAGGAAACACCACACAAGAGGGAAAGGAAAGGGCTAGAGAAGAAGGTGTCAGATTTTCCCAACCTGTGGTGTCGGGGCGGCAGGGGTGACGCCAAAGTTGCCCTGTTTGTCTCGGCTGAACACAAGCTTCCATAAGACGATGTCAAGGATGAAGGTCTATGGAATAGCGCAGTGGGCAGGGGAAAGAATTACAGAGAGGCTACTTTGATTTCACATAGCTCCTGCTATTGTTTTTTTTTGCACAGTGGCGTTCAACTGTTTTTTAGAGCCACACTGTACCAGAGCTTTTAAGATATGAAGCATGGCAACTTCTTCTTCTTCCAGTTAGCTGTGTGTTAATCATTACACGTGAGGTTAAAATTGCATTAAATTAGTAAGGAGAGAGTCCATGGATGCTAGTCTTGAAATAATGCAAACTGTGCTGAAGTTTTTGATTATGTGCAGAATCATTTTGGTTGCCTCTTCTAAATTCACTTAATAGGTGAAAGGAATTTGCACTGGTAGTTTAGGAAGAAGCATCATCTGGGGTGTACGCTAAGCAGTGCACGTAAAGGCAAACATCAAAGGAAGGCAGAAACATCGTGACACTGGTCCACTGAGGCAGCAAGTCAGCATAAGTTAGCCAAAGTTTTGCAGAAAAAAACATCTACAAAGCATCTGTCTACTGGAAAAAACAAATTAGACAAGACAAAAATGCTGCTTTGTGAAATTTCAGAAGCCCCACAAATGCATACGTTTTAACAAAAAACAATCACACACTTTTAGGGTTAACTACTACAGACAGTAGTTTGCCTCATTAAAGGCAAGACATTCTCACTTCACAACATAATTTCTTCTAACAACGCAAGATTGATCCTGCTGTCCGGCTAAATGAGACAAAGATGAGCACACTGCATGAAAAAACAAAAACTGAACATGAGAAAAACATCAACTGTTACCGTGTTATCGTGTGTGTCTTACCTCAACCAAAACAGACACGGCCGCATTGACCAGGATGATGAGGAAAAGTTTTACCCTCCAATCAAATGGGACACAAACAATCTGTACCGACGAGAGAGACACTCATAACTCTGGTGACAGGAACAATTCCTGAAGCGATCATTATCAACATTGTTTTAGGCTTCAAGCGTCTGCAAACACTGTAAGAGAACAAAGGCCACACTGGAGCTGAGTAAGGGCGCGTATTTAATTTCTTCCTACCTCTAGAAACTCGTCAATGCCTTCGATGGGGTGGAACATGATGAACAGCAGGAAGAAATACAAAGTCACGGCAGACACCACAAAAGGCCCTGTGGAGAGGACACACAAGCACAAAATTACAGTGTAGAAAAATAACTCTGTGACCATTTTTAGGACGCATTCATTATTGTTCAGAAGCGGAGTTTCTTACAATTCTTGTAGCTCGGCTGCCTGAACGGTTTGCCCTTGGAGAAAACGATGGCAACAATCAGATACTGGAAACAGGAGACGTAGAAGAGGCTGGTGTTCTCGAAGTTTTGGATGTTGTGGTCGTCCACTTCTGTGTCGTTGTGGTCGGACACGTTAATGTGTAATGTGCGGTTGCAGACACTGAGTAGGGACAGAGGCAAATTTTCACACTGTTGTCAACATACAAAATATTACTGATACTTTTTAAAATGTCCCATAAAACTCAAATCAAATCCAGCAAACAGTGGTGTCATGAGGCTTTCTTTTTGGTTTGGTCACTGAACACCAGAAATAATCGCAGCTGCTCACTCTGTAAGTGGCGTCCAGACTGTGTACCAGGGCTGCTGTTGGACCCAAAGGAATGTTATGGTCTGGAAGCCCAAGCAGATGAGGATCTGGGTCAGCACAGAGAACAGCAGAGGCCCTGAGATCAGACCTGATGGAGGGCGCCGTGACACCAGTTCCTTCCACGCAGGGTTCAGACTCACTGAGGAGGAGCAGAGGAAAGGTTGATGAGCAGAAAAGGGACATTTAAGGTGATGAGAAAAGGCGTAACATTATAGAAAGTTAGGGACAAAATCCATTTTGGGGGGTTTAAAAAAAAAAACAAAAAAACATGTCAGCCCCAGGTTTTTTGTACTTACTGGTGAAGACAATCAGGAGGATGATAGCAATGTCGATGAAGAGGAACTGGAAGTCTCCAAGGTTACTGAGGATCTAATAAACCAAAAACGTCAATAGTAATGATCAGATGAATTCACTGGATCTCTCATTGGTTCCATAATTACTGCTGAGGCGGTATTACGTACAGAGTAGAGGAGGGTGACGCTGATGTACTGGATGATGCTGTAGAGGGCCATAAACTTGAACACACAGAAGGAGGTGATAAGAGCAGCACGGCCCTCCCTGTAAAAGCAAGAAAACACTGTGTCATCTCTCTATCCAACATTTAGCTGGAAAAATGTCCTCTAACAGGTGTGAATGATCGTGTGACACTGTTTATTTGTCTATATATATATGCTACAGTATTGTAGATGATATATAATCAGCACTGTAAGTAGCTGACAGGGACATGGACAGCACCAAACTAAACATTGTTAGTTTGATTATTTTTAAAACTTGGCAACAGAGCCAACATCCTAAAGGACACCACATGACACAAAATGCTGCATCTACCAAAGAAGCCAGTTGTAAATTCTCACTTTAACTATTCTGGAACTGCATGACAATAAGAAGAAGTAAAGAAAGACCTGATGAGACTGGGAACACAGGAGATGTTGGGGGTTCTTGAGGTGAAAGGAGAGGCTACTGAGGCTTCGAGCTCTGACAGAGAGATCCCACCATGAGCCCTCTTCAGAGCCTGGGTGAAGGGAGGCAAAAAGACAGTTAATATACATACTGCAATCAAACTCTGAGCATTAAAACCTGTTACTGTCACACGAATAAATGCTTTTAAAGCAGCTGTACATACCCCACAGTCATTTGCTCCGTCTCCACACATTCCCACAAAGTAGCTGCGAGCAAATAATAAAGAGCAGTGACTCCGAGCTCAATGTTACCACTTTATGCATTTTGACAAATGATTAAAAAAAAAAGATAAAATGATCATTTGTATCCATTGCACTTTTTCTAGTTTTGACAGAAATGTGCTTCTACCAATAACTTGCCAAAGCTGCATCATGTGGTTGGCCTAAATACTCACTCTACTCCTTGCAGTGCCTCAATGAGCTGAGTTTTCTGGTCGGGCGCCATTCTGGCAAACACTGTACCATGCAAGACTAGCTACAAGGCAAAAAACACAAGAAAAACACCAGAAATATTACATATCATGGAGGTAATAGTTTCTTAAAAACAGTGGTTAGCTACAGAAAATATTGAGTGTTTTCAATCCTTTTAAGAGACTCGTACCTTCTGAAGCATGTCGGGGAAATGCTCAGCGATTACAGCAAATGATTTTCCGTTCATAGCGAAGTGGTACAGTTCTTGTGTTTTGGGTTCATCTACGTGGCACACATCCTCCAAGCTAATGTTCACTTCCTGTTAACGGAATGGAAATATGGAATAGAGTCAATACATCTATTGACCCATTATCTATACACCGCTTAATCCTCACTAGGGTCGCGGTGGGGCTGGAGTCTATCCCAGATGACTCAGGGTGAAGGCAGGGGACACCCAGGACAGGTCACCAGTCTATCACAGGGCTACACTTAGAGACAGACAACCAAGCACACTCACATTCACACCTACAGACAATTTAGAATCACCAATTAACCTCAACGTGTTTTTTGACCATGGGAGGAAGCCGGAGAACCCACGCTGCACGGGGAGAACATGCAAACTCTATGCAGAAAGATCCCGGGTGTCCTCACTGGGACGCAAACCGGCGACCTTCTTGCTGCGAGGCAACAGTGCTAACCACCGCTCCACCTTGCAGCCTAGAGTCAATACATTATTAGGTAAATACAGGCCTCAATAATTACTATAGAGTTCAACAAACTTTTCAAACTATGTTACCAATTAAGAATGCCGTGTTTTCATATATCATATTCAGCTGCTATATTAGACTGCATTTTGTAAATAAATGTATTTTAGGATTAGCCCCAGTGCTTCACCTCGAGGCGAGACGTCTTGGTGGGCTTGTCAGCGTATCTCCAGGTGATCTTGGCGGCTTGTCCATCATGGGGATGGAGGGCATCAGCAATTATGACTGTGTCCTGGGGAGGGATCATTCCACAGTCCCGGGCCACAGAGATAGCCGTCAGCATGTTGTCACCTGCAACGTGAACAGAGTTATAATCTTTCCACAAAACCCCATACTTCAGTTACTTTTTTCCTACAAGCTTTTCTGATAATTTTTTTTAGATTTACCATCAACTGAAATTTGTGACCTTAAGGCCACCCAGAAGGGTTAACTGAGATAAAAGACGTATAAATAAATAATAACTTCACCAAGAGTTTGCCTGAGACTGATGGTGACTTGAAATAGAAGTTCAGTGTCCTTCCATTGTGACAATACAAAATGAGTTTGATTGGAAGCCTGAGTCTGAAATACCATTAAGTACATGAAGATCATGAATCAGTCATAATTACCTGAATTCTTTTCAGCCTTTATGTGACATGTTTTATGACAAATTGTCCTTTTTTGAGACAAACCTCAACTAAAAATATTTTCTAGCTGAGGTTGCGGGTACAGCTCAGCAAAAAACCAGAAGGATTAAACATATCTATTCAAGGGTTGAATCACAGAACATCACTTTGGTGTTTGTGTGATGACACTTCAAGACAGTTAACCAGCTACAGAGATAAACCTTAAGTGTACAGGTACAGTAATTTGTTGTTTGCACATCTGTGAGTCTTTTCTTATGACTAACTGTAATGCTGCAAAACACTGGTTTGTTCTCACCAGTAACCATGACAGTACGGATGTTGGCTCGATGAAGATCCTGCAGCACTGCTGGGGTTTCTGGCTTCAGCTTGTTCTGCATGATGATAAGACCAAGGAACTCCATGTTCGCCTCAATGTGATCTCTAGTTCAAAGACAAACACACACACATTCGTACCCATGTATCAATGAACCTAAACTAAGAATCCCAACTCTTCACGGTAAATCACTTTACTTTTGAGGAATTCCTAACCGCGTGTCTTCATCAGATTTCCTTATTTTGATCATTACTAAAGGAATGTAGGCATGACTTTTTAAGGCCAGCACTGTAAAGCAGTGTGCTAAAAAGCTGCAGCAGCCTTCAGCCTAGACTTCTCAGGGTTTGAAATGAAGTTCAAAAACAACAAAATACAGCACACTACCTGTTGATATTCTGGACCTTGTGCCAGGTGAGTTTGGATTCAAGTCGGCGATGAGCCAGAGCAATGACTCGAAAGCCCTGCTTGGTGTAGCCCTCCAAAACCTCTGCAAAGTTCTCTGGCACTGAAAATTAAAGAAATAGGTACAGTTAGACAGGTAGCAGGTAAAGAACACACAAACTGCTGTGGCTTACTCAGGTCAGGCTTCTTCTAAAGAGTCTGGCAAACACTTTTGACTTTTGATGTATCCATCCATCCATCCATTATCTATACACCGCTTAATCCTCACTAGGGTCATGGGAGGCTGGAGTCTATCCCAGCTGACTCAGGGTGAAGGCCGGGGACACCCTGGACAGGTCACCAGTCTATCACAGGGCTACACTTAGAGACAGACAACCAAGCACACTCACATTCACACCCAGAATGTTTGATATATCACAAAACATAATTCTTTATTATTTTATTATATATACCACAAACACATTAAATTTGTCGAAGAAACAGTTAAAATGGCCTAAAAATGGTGAGGAAATGTTCTGTTTTGTGAGGAATGACCTACTTGGAGAGAGTCATTGTTGGCTTTGCACCTCAGCTGAGCCAAAATATAAAAAGCTTAATGAGACTTTGTGACATTGTTCACATCACAAGGTACTTGGCTCATTGTTCAAATTCCAATAAATGTTTTTTTCTTTTTTTTGTACCTGAGCTTAGTTGTAGACAAAGAGGAACGAAAACATAATACAGCTTGATTTTAATGTAATTCTCCCAAGCCAGCAGGGCACAAGTAACGTGTTTTTACAGTGCTTTCTACTTGTACTCATTACCATAGCAGGGATAGTTTCTGGACACCTCACCTGTCTCTTTCTTGCAGAGACTAGCCACCACCTCTGGAGCACCTTTCATGTAGGCATCCATACGTTTCTCCCCCAGTAAACGAGCTACCACACTCATCCTCTGAAGCGCTGAGGAGAAAGGAAACTGGCGCACAATACCTATCTCATACGCTGACTGCACACACACACACAGACATCCACAGACAAAACAGCAGCTTTTAGAATTTATTTCAAAAAGAAGTTGAGAAGAAAAAGACAAAATGTCCATCTGGTCAAAGAAAAATGATTATTAATACAAATAAAAGAGGAAAGTACTTTGCTGACAACATAATGAATGTGACTGAGATTAGATTATATCACATGTACTGAACAAAAAACATGCTTCATTTTACAAGTTTCAATTACCTTTTACTTGACTAGTCACTACAATGTCAGTCAATTTCTGAAAACATTTTTGAAAAGCCTTACATTTAAATAAAATGTAAATGAACAACACTATTTAGACAACTGCCGGTCACTACTTATTCTTAAGCCTACAGTCCTTTAAAACTGCATTATAAAAACAATATTTTTTAAAAAGAAGCAGATTACTTACCGAGAGCTCATAGAGTTCCTATAATAACAGAAAAAAGAACAAAAAAACTAAATGTCAAAACAAAAATAACAGTTCTTTAGATTAAAAACAAGTCGCTGTTACGCTATGACGGTCATTGGAGGCCACATGAAATGCACAAGAAAATCTGGTTTAAATGCTTGGATTAGGAGCGATTATTAACCAGGACGATCACTGGAGCTGATATCCAGTCTTTTCTGATTACCAGTATTATTATTACATTTTAAAACCACTTTCCAATTAAATAATTTACTTCGATGCCGCCACTTTTCTATGTCTGTAGTCACCCTTGTGGTTTAAAGCAATTCCCGGCCACAGCACTCTGACCGTTTACACGTCACAAGTACTCGCCTATCGACACTGAAGGGTAAATGTCACAACGTTCTCCTTTAATTAAACATACGTAAAACATGAATTAACAAAAGAATTTCAACATTTTCTTTTAAGGTGTGTGTTATTCAAAATCTTGACACCAAGAATTTACTTTTTACTGCAAATATCTGTCTCCTTGATGACCATTGTTACACATATTTATATAATAGATCCAATCTTTAAAGGTCCATGGTTGTCCCGTTGAACAGCTGGGTTGCTGTACATACCATGTCCTGTTCTGGTGACACAGCAGGCTCTGGGGGCAACAGCTGCTTTGGGGGTCGAACTACAGTAGGCATGATACGATTGTGTAGTGATGTTTCCTCCTCAGTGGCCTCCTCCAGGATCTGGGCAGACCAAGGCAAAAAAAAAAAAAAAAAGAACAAATACACAAAAAGACAAAAGGGATCAGACAACAATAAAGATTTCTCTAGACATAGAATATGTAACATTATTGGCTTTTTAAGTCATTAATGCGTCGTCCAGACATAAGTTTATGTTCCTATTCAGACATGCCAAGACTGTCCGGGGGGGGTGGGGGTGAGCAATATTTGACATCTAACATGCGAGTCCAGACAGTCCAGGAAGTTGTGTTTAATGTATAACCCTCACTGTCTGTTGACAGTCTTGTTACAGACCTGTAAGCACCTCTCTTAACTCAGCCTCTTCATCAGTGTTACTACATTCATGCAGACTTCAGATCCACATGTCCACATGTCCAATTTAGTAAGATTGCCGTTGTGACTTTTATGTGACCAAATGGTATCCAGCCTGCTTATTAACAGGCAGGGGTGTATGTCCACAAGAGGTTTAGGAGGTACTGTAGGGGAACAGGTAAATATTTGTCTGGCTCTCTTTTGATTCCCTCTCTGTTACACACACACAAAGACAAAATGGATTCCAAGTTGTTGTTGTTCTACCTACGACAACAACAACTTTCAAAGGTGACCTGAGTAATCAATTTGTCACTGTGCTGCCCTCGTGTGAAGCGTATGTATAGATGCAGAGCAACTCACCCAGCCTGTAGCCTCAAACATTTTGAGGTCTAGTGGATCTCCAGACAGCTGGCCTTCTATTTTGGTAAGAGAGTGGCAGGTGGCCATGCAAGCCACAAACTGGGACTTGACAAGATTCTCCTTGTAGGCATTTTCCTCTGACAGGTGGAAACTGGAGAGACAGGAGATGTAAATGGTGGACAAAGAAAAAAGTTTTACTCTCACAAATGCAATGCAATAAGGAAAAAAACGACTTTGTTAATTTTGTGCTGTGAATAAAGTATCTCAAGATGAGAATATAAATGCCTATACCACTGATTCATGCTACAGAAACCTCCCAACTGCTCAGCAAAATGTCAGCATTTGCAGGGACTTTAAAAGAGACTTTCAGCAAAATACGCTTCAGTTCATTCCAAATCCTCTCCCCAAGGTAACCAGTAAAGCAACAGCAGCTTACCAATGGCAAAAATAAAACAATGACTTCACATTTCCAAAGCTTCATTGGGATGCAGCCAAAACACATCACAACCGTGGTAGCTTCATATTTTCTAAATTACACACCAACCTACCTGCCGTTCTCAACTCTCTGGACTCCCCACATATCTAATCCATCTTCTGTCAGAGTCCCAGTCTTGAAGAAGAAATAAGAAACACAATCAAATTTAACTTAATCAGTTCAAGTTGATCTTAATTACCAGACGGTAAGTGGGCAACATCACTAGTCACTTCTTCATATGACTTGGTACTTGGTTGCTTTGCTACTCAGTAGGTGTTTTAATTCAACTATTGCCTATATCATTTTATATTTCTCCTAAATTTAAATAAGTAAGAAACTTACTTTGTCAAAGCAGACCAAATTGATCTGCCCGCAGATATTGATCCTCTGTGGACTGATGCAGAAAATGCCAATGCGTTTTAGGCGTCGCTGGGCATACACGATGCCAGCTGTCATGGCGGCTGGCAGCGCCGGTGGCACAGTGATGGTGATGATGTCCAGGGACTCGATTATGATGGTCTTAGCTGGCACCTGGCAGGCAGAAGAAAGACAGATCAGACTTTTGCATGTTTGATGATCTTTTTGTCTTTGGCTGTCACCTCTCCTGGTAGAAATCCACACCAAACAAGGATTCACAATTCACCCTCACTCGACAAAAAAAAATCCAAAAATGGCCAATCTGACTGACTCGTGGGCGGCTACGCCTACAGTCACAGACAGTGGGTGACTGACTCTGAGACAGAAAAGCTTTTTCACATCTCACCAGACTCTCTATGAAACAGTATTGAATCAAAAATTGAAATCATTTGACTGTAAAAATGTAATTTTCCCTAGACTTTCTGAACAAAGTCAAAATCTTTCCTTCTGGGTTCTTGGATGTACCTGTAGTAGCTAAGATGGACCTGTACTCGCCCAGAGCGACATAACAAGGTCCCTTCAAAGTGAGGGGAATGTTTCTCAAGCCAATACCACCAATGAAATATTCTGAGGCATTGGCAGACCAAACCAAGGCCAAAACAGAGATCACGATTCATCAGACTGTGGAAAAAAGGACTCGAGTGATCTGCTGTGCAATTCTATGCTAACGTGTTTGCAAAAAGAACATCATAAGCTAATGAAAGCTCTATTACTGTGAATGAATCTGCCATGTGGTGGGTAGAAATCTCTTAATTCTCTGCCACAGTGAGCCGGTCAGTGGTCAACAGATTAGACTGCTACACTGACCTGCTTTCAGGTCTGATTGTAAACAGCTTTGAGTAAGAAACAGGGCACCACTTACATAGTTTGTGCTTGAATGAAAAAGAAACACACATATTACAAACATCAAATAAGTTTTAAAAAATTTGCTGTGAACACTGACATAAAAAAATAGTTTATATTGTAAAAATTATGTATTTTTTATGATTGTAAATCAACAAAGACAGAGCCAGCAAATGCTCTAATTTTCTCACGTCTCTCTGCAAATCAGAACACTTTATTCTTTTAATCTACTCTCGTTACTTCTTTGATTACCTTGTTCATGACACTGAGGACAATGGAGTATACGAAGCCGATTCCAGCCACAGCCACCAAACACAACAGGAAGAGGTAGGCATCACGGTACAGCTTGAAGTCGGTGGGTTTGGGATAAAGGATGGAGCGCACCAGCTGGCCTTTGGCTGTGCTGAAACCTGGATCAAGAAGTTTCCAGTCAAAGTTTTTAAAACACTGTATGTTGTACTTTCCTTTCATCACATCTCTTAAGATGTGGTGTTGGTGACAAAAGTCTTCTAAAGAGGGCTCAAATGAAATGTGACACGTATTTAGCAAATCATAGAAAACGCTGACTGCCTGAATGAAAAAGACAAATCTCTGAAATGCTACGTTGCTATTGTAACAAGGAACAGTAGTGTTTGAAAGGTGCGTCCTTAGACTAATGTTAGTCTTTTATTGTTTGCGAAAAAGTCAATGTCACTGAGTTCACTTTAAGGAAAAAACATCTTGAGCAAAAGACTGCAGTCACTGCTGGATGCAAGATCACACAAGAGTTTGTGCCAGCGCCAAAAACAATATGTATATATATGTTATTTTAATATATCACTGCTACAGCAACAGTCCCCTAAAAAAAAAAAAAAAGAGTCAAAGACAACTTACACAATATCCAAGCATTACAGTTCCTAAAACTTGACCAGACTGACCTGTGCGGACCACCACAGCCTTGACCAGTTCGCCCGTGTAGAAGCGGGTTTGGATGACACTGGTGCCACAGAAGAGTGTGTGTCTCTTGTGCTCCTCTGTGTTGTAGGCACTATCAGCCTCCTCCTCCCTCTCCCCTGGGCCCGGGTTTGGGAGGTTGGTCTTTGTCACAGGAACGCTCTCACCTGATGGAAGGTAGACTTATATTAGGACGGGCTGCAGGAAATATACCAGAAAAGCAGTTTGCTGTTTGGAAATTACACAACAAAAATATTTCAACATCTAACCTGTGAGCATGCTTTCATTGACGATGCAGGTGCCGCTGACCAGCACAGCGTCACACGGCATAATGGTCCCATTGCTGGGGATGACTATCACATCGCCAGGCACCAGATCAGTAGACAAAATCTCTTCGATATCTGTCGAGAAGGCGGGGTGAAAATGGTGCAATAAGATAAATGTGTGCATTAAACACAAGCAGGTGATGAGCATCATGGGGAATAAAACAGAAGACGGTAAATAAATGTGAAGAAAGGTTAAAAAAAAAAAAAGTGCATAAGCCAACAATAGCAGATGGTGGACAGGGAGAGGGATGAGGAAATGTTTTGTGTGCATAAGGCTCAGAGTCTTGTTCAGCACATCTTTCATTACTCACACCTCTAGAGGCAGCAGGGAAAAAAAAGCTGAGGCATCACAACAGTGGCGTGATAAATGGACACATGAACAAAAATTAAAGGTATGTTTGAGCTTCTACATCAACGTTTGATTCTAAACACAAGTTTTGTTTTCTCCTTTGGACAACTCAGAAATTAATTTTGGTTCGCTACAGCTGTTAAAGACACCTGATGGTATTGTCGGTCCTTAGGCATAATTTTTGCAGACATTGTTTTAAAAGGTGTGCAAACGTACAAGAACAGAGCCATAAAAGAAACCATGCCTTTGAATATATGCATATGCTGCACCCACTGTCTTACATACACTCCCTCTCTCTTAACTCTGCAGTGTCTCGCTGTAGCAGCCATCTGGAGGACAGCCAAAGCATGGTGACTGTGTAATTGAGTCTGGCCCAGCACAGAAGCGGAAAAATGTCTACTGTCAGATTTGGTTTGGAAAACGCTCTCTAGAAAAGCAAGAAAGAGCTACACATGCTGTTCTACTATTTAAATGACTCTACATGGGCAATCTGCAAAAAAAAAAGAGACAAAAACAAAAAAAGTCCTACAAACCGTTATTGGCTCGGCATACAGACACACGGACAATACTGTGAGCTGCCACCATGTCGTGAAGCATGACATATTGCTGGAGAAAGAGAAGAAAGAAAACAGCGGTTAAAATCTTTTACACAGCTTCTTGATTCCCACAAACACCTGACCACAGGAGGGTTTTCATTTGAGTCTGCGAGCTATGAGTCCAGGGGCAGCAGACCGTGTGCAGATGAGCCTTTATGTTAGCCTGAAATCCCTGGATTAGATATGACCGGGCAGCGAGGGAGTCTGTCATAGCACTGGGGTAGTTCAGTTACTGTGACGCATGCAGTGACGGGTAAAACTCTAAAGACTCTTTAAACATGCATTCCTCTGCATTCTCTTTGGTACTTGTTGTAGTGCTCCATATATATGAGTTGCACTTCAAACAATCTGAGATTTAAAAAAAAAAAAAACAGAAATGAGAGGGCGTTCTGTGGTCAAATGGTGAAGGTGAATGCCACATAACGCACATACCTCCCCCTTTAACCTTTTTTCCCTGTCAAGCTACACTGTCAAATGCCAAACAAAAGCCCAACACTATAAAATAACCTTAAAAAGGAAAGACATGTACTGATAAAATGATAGAAGACACATAATGGCAAGTCTTTAGTGACATTTAGTTACTAGTGTCTTGCACAAAAAGCTTGCATTCTGACCTGTAGTTCAATCTAAAGTAAAGATCTGATAACCAAACCCCTCCATTTTCACAAAAGAAAAGAAATAGAACTACACAAAAAGTCCACCGTTATCAAAATCTTCGACAGCTGTAAGCTATTACAGGGACAATCTGTTAATTAAACACATGGATGAACAAACCATCCTAGGCATGATTATGACTCATTGTTAGTAGGGTTAAAAAAAAAAAAGAAGTAAAAAGCAGAGTAAGGTGTCATCTTAATATGAGAATACACTGGACAAGAACTATGGATGGATGATACAGCAGTGACTAATAAATTACTAGTGCTACAACCAGACTAGATTAATAAAAAGAAACTCAGGGTTACTACAAACACATTTCCAATAGACATTTCCACCAAAAAAGTGGTTCATAAAATCTAAACTAGAGCCACACTAATCAAAACCTGAACATGTGGCAGCACACGGATCAAATTCTTGCTAAATAAGCTTTCGAAAAATGACAATAGTCTCATAAAGAACCTTAACGTGTTGTCGACCTCACCTTTTTGATGGTGTACAGAGAGGTAGCTATGGATATGACCGACATGAAAACAATGGCCACAGCATAGTAGTAATACTCATCGGCACTCCACAGGATCACACTGAAGAGCTGGAAGATGTAGAAAGGGTTGAGGACCTGCAGGAGGAGACAGAGAGGGAAATTAGTGGCGCAAATGCAGAGGTGAAGCTAAATGCAGAGATGTCTGCTTTAAATTACATCAGGACGGTGAAGGAAATTCTGTTACATACAAACGTTACCATATGCGTGAATACTGCATTTTACAAGATGTGTGATCATTATTTATTTACCTAACTGTAGAACGTATTGGTGGCACACATTTACACACTTTTCTACACACACTTTAGCAGTGTTTGAGGTTCACTTGGTCCAACACACGTGTCATGTTATCAAGCCGTGACCCACATTACTGTGTTTGTCTGCGAGATGCATTAGTGTAGTATTTACCCCATTAAACTACTTCTCTTGTAGAAATGTATTAGGAAAATATTCCAAATAGTTTTCCTTAATCAACTCTTCACATAACTGAAAAGATAATCCATATTTACTAGCAAGCAACAGGGTTCAAGTTAGAATAAACTGAAAATGCAACAGAAACCTGGTAAAAGGAGCAATAATGAGAGCGAAGTAGCCGCTGTAGGAGATACAGGGAACAGAGATGCCCTTAAGCAGAGGAGTAGCTGTTTACATTACTAAAATAGATCCTGGTTATACACTGCTCTCATTTGAATCTCTAGCGACGAAGGCCTTGCAGGATTAACCCTACGGAAGTATTTCTCAAATATTGATCCTATTTTCTTGAGGCATTTCTACAGGATATAATATTGGTTTGTTATTTTTGGTTTTGCAGGAACTGAAACAATGACTTTTGACTTAACAATGACTAAAAGTAGATAAATATCATCAACAAGGTTCTCTGCTAGCAAACTTGAAAGTAGAGCTGCAACTAATGATTGTTTCTATTATTGTCTTAATTGATCAATTGCTCATTAGGTGCATAAAAACCTCCCATAATCATTTACATGAAATCCTAACTGAAATTGTTTGTCCAATCAACAATCCAAAACCCAGAGAAATAAAGTGTTCATGGAAGAACTAAGAATGCAAAATTCTCATCTGAAGGCTGGAACCAGTGCATGTCTGAAATTGGTTGATTGAGAAAAAATAATTAACCAATCATTTCAGCTCTACTAGGAAATACAGTCGTGACTCGATAATCCGACACTAAATGTAAAACCTTCTTTTACGTCGGATAAGGGTTGGATTATCAACTCACGACTGTACATTGTGAAACGTGTAAAAGTGGCAACCAATTTTTCACCAACCAACTAAAGCTGGCATCTCAACAGACTAAGGTATCGATCACTCTTGTGAAAAAAAATCTGATGTTTTATCCTTAATGGAAATCAGTACTTCTTTAGAAGGTAGTACAAATTAGTAGCTTGCAAGGAGACACAAAAGTTCTGACAGCTGACGAGACGCCTGTCTATAATTCTGTGTGTCGCACACCAAATCACATCATTGATATTTGGCATAGAAGCATGTTAATTGTGGCAATGTTCGTGTAAAAACAATGCAATGACCACACATGTTGTCTTTCATTCAAGGAAAATTCAAACTCTTAGTTAAAGAAAACACTGCATATTTGAATGCAAACTGGGTTCTACCTCTTTGATAAGCAGCTTGAAAACAGAAGGCACTTTCACTGCAATTTCATTCACTCCGAAGAACAGTTTCCTGACAAGAGGTGAGAGAGACATTGTGTTTAGTGTCGTGGGCCAGACCACCACATTTAGACACACACACCGTCACACACTAATGTACACACGGTAAATAGCAGAGTTGCACAACATTATAGTAAAGAGAATAGATACGTAGGTTGCTGTTTTGACCCAAATGAGTGCCAGATGAGTTCACTGATTAGTTTCTCCACTTGATGGGCTTTTAATCAGCAACGTATAAACAGACTATAAAACTGCTATTTTGAAGGTATTATTTTTGGGCATTTTTCCTTAACTAGCAGTGGAGATGGATAAGAAATATAGGAAAGGAAAGCAAACATTTTAGGGGAAAGAATGGATGTTTTTTATATTTTATACCTCAGAGTATAAAGGTCAGAGTCTCACAAAACAGTATTATTCTCTTGTATAAATTTTGTTGTTTATTCTTATTGAAATTATGTCAGCATTTGAGTGCCTCAACTGTAAAAATAAGAAATATGTCCAATGAGCCACTCTACCAAACCTTGACCCCAAGAGTGAGGTGCATACAAAACCACAAATGTTGTGCATCGTCACATCCCTCATAAGCAAGGGGCTTGTAATTTGCAGGTACCATGCAAACAGCTCAAACGACAGAATAAGGTTTCCAACAGGCCTGAATTCCTTTCCCCTTAAATGCCATATACACTTGTGTCACGTCTCCTTTGAACAGATGTTACCTGTACTCCTGCTGGTTCCTGGTCAGGCCTACGCTGTGCTCCGAGTGTAGGGTGGAGCAGCTGACCTGCAGATCCTCCAGGCCGCTATAAAGGTTAAATAGGGAAAAGGAACATAAAGTTGACACTTTTAGTTACACATAACAAAACCAGCGATGCTAGTCCAACATTGACCTTGTTTTGTTCACTTTATTGCCAGGCGCTTCATGAGTTAAACAGAAGTTATAGATATAGCTATTAATATTGATTAATATTGCTGTGTATTACCCTTAGCCAAATAGCTCACTGATGAGTATTCTGTGGTAAAATTGTTGGCAAACTTGTAAAAAAAACAAACACTTTTTTAAAAACCCTATAAAATGCATGAATGTAGTCAGAGTATACTTACGTTAAAACCTCAAAGTTCTGCACCTCGTCGTTCCAATAATACTTTGTGCTATGGAAGGTAAAATAGCGAATCTAAAGGGAGCAGAAGAGAAGATGGGCAAAAGTAAGAAGCAAAGTTGGCTTAAAATTCTATTTGACAGAACTATCATATTCTTTGTACATACATTTAAAGGCACAAACAAATCAACACAAAGTACATTTAAAACGAAACACAAAACTAATAACAGAAGCAGCCAGATGAAATCCAACAACTTTAATAACCTTACACTGAGTATTTGAATATCTGTTGTAAATATGGGGTAAAAATCCACATGATCAAAACATGGCAACCTTTCTATGAACAGATAAATACAATATTTTGTACGGGATCTTGTGGAGACGCTGTGCCTACCTGTGTGGGCTGGTAGTCGGCAAATCTAATGATGAGCTCCTGAGCGGGGCTGCCATCGGAGGGGTGAGGGGTGTGTCCGTTGGCCAGAGGGGGGGAGGCAGGGGAGGGGAAGGGACAGGAGGGAGAGGAAGGGGAGGAGGGGGAGGTGGTCTGGGTATCCAGGCTGTGGAAGGGGTTGCTCCCCGGGGCCAGCATCACTCGCACCCTGGCCAGGAACCAGCGCCGGAACTCATCCTGGTCAACAACACACAACAGACACAAGAACAAAGTCAACCGACTGAACGTTTGAGAATCTTCATTGGGTAACCATATAACTGCTTCCACAACTGATTGAGTTTAACGCTTGGGGGAATTTCATATCAGCTGCCTTTTATATATATATCTGTCTGAATGTTCCAGTGCGTGTTTTATCGTTGGAAAGAGGTATAAAGACACAGTCAGTCCACTGTGTTTTAATGATGGGGAAAAGTTTGAATATTTAAGCTGTTGCATAATGTTTTATTGTTGTGATAGGAGTTATTTGAGCCTAATGACATGTGATATTAACTAATTGTTACTTGTGTCCAGCTGCATTCACTCACTACTAAATTCCAATTCCAATCTATAGTAGGTTACTAATCATAGATCAGTGAAGGACAGCTAACCGTGATGGACTGGCTGAAGAAAGCACAATGTGGTTTTTGATGGTCTACTGGGGCAGAACGAAAGAGGGAGTGAAAGAGAATATTTGAACTTTATCTTGATCTTGGCAGAGAGAAAGCAACATTTCTCTGCTATTAAAATGTGTTTTCAGACTGTTGTTTGTGCGCAGGCTGTCGTCAGGCTACAGCGTATTTTTCTGATTGCACATATTGGACCTCAGCACTAAAACTTCATCGTCTAAGACATGAAGTCCTGGCTTATGCCTGCATAGTAATTTGACACAGGCAGGTGAGTGTGCCATGGGCGTCTAACGAATGTGAACTGACACAACTCCTTGTGGATTTGTGTTGCCATTTATTCTGCTGTTTTGAGACTATAACAGAACTTTGTCTTTTTTTTCATCAATGGATACAACTGCACTTGGTTTTGTTGGTGAGGCAAAGATGATTTCTTTGTACTAAGCGATAGCACATGGCTCTTAGGAGTTCACAGTTGTTATTTTCACACCCTGTCTTACCGTACTTATTCCAGACTCACCTTACTGATAAACCAAATTCTAATTCCTGTCCAAAAAATAAATACCGCCTATAAGTTAGGTATTCCCAGCACTTCAAACCATCATAAGGGCATTTACAATTCAGCACAAAAAAAATCAATTTCTACACAGATGGTCAAGGATGAATGGTAGCTCCGGCACTCAAGCACAAGACCAATATAGACAGAAAGACATGCAGACACACAACAACAAACAGAAATAAACACTCAAGCACACAAGAGTTGTGAACACACTGCTGGGTACAGGTCAAACTATTTGTGCATTCCTGTTTGTGTTACTGTACACGTTACTGCCAGTCTCACTGAAACACTGTACTAGTACGATACTTCAGCTGTGTTCACGTGCAGCTCTAAAAGAACATGAGCTTGAGGTTCAGGTCTTCTGCGTAGATCATGCTGGGCTTGACTTTCTAGGTTTGAAAAAATGATACTGGGAGGATCTGTATCAAATCACTGTGTCATTTTATTTCATTTAAATGGAGAAGTGACATTACATTATTGTTGGTAAATATCTGATACTTTACTAATTTGACCATCATTTTTTCTACAAGCCTGCCAATGATAGAAGTATTCACTCCTTTATTATGCAGCTACCTTTCTGGGCTTTCACACGCTTAACATGAGATGGGCTGCAACAAACAATTATTGTGACAATGGATACATCTGGCAATGATTTTACTGATTGTTAAGTCTATGAAATGCTTACAACTTGAGAAAAATTCTGTTTACAATTCTTCCATGGCCACAGTGAGTCTTAAATTAGCTTATTCTGTCCAGCAAACTGTTCAAAACAACATTCTACTTAAAGTATTTTATGATTTTTTTTTAAAAAAAAGGAAAAAGGCCTGAAATCAGTAATTGATCACTTTCAGTGAACATCAACGCAGCTGTACTTGCTACCTACCGTAGAACGCAGCAACACCACTTCAGCATCACGGGCTGTGGTACGGGTGCAGGTGGACTTGACGCACCATTCTGGCATCCAATAGAGCAGCAGGAGGAGGAAGCCCCCTGTACATAGTACCCCGAGGCCCACCAGGGCCAGTCGCCAACGACACAGACGGTAGCCCTGCAGCTCCTTAAGGATGGAAGATGAGTGCGGTCTGATAAGTCAAAAAGCAATTATTCTCACACTGGCTGTGTTGGAAAATGAAAAGAGTCATACCATCTCCTCCTCCTCCCCTTTGTTGAGGACCTTCAGGTCTTCCTTCTCCATGCTGCGGAACAGTTTGCCAAGCCCCTTCCTTAGTTACTGCAAACACAACAGACAAAATGTGCGGGTGAAGAGTGTGGAAAAACATTTTAGCTTCACAATTTTAAGCAGTGAATATTAGTCAGTATTTATATGATGAGGCATTGGAGATGACTTTAACTACAGTCTTACTAATCACTCAAGGCCTTAAGCTGGGACTGTACTCCCCTGGGGATGGGCACATGAACAGCTGCATGCACCACGAGTGCATAGTTGTTTGAAATTATACTACTTGTGTTTCACACATGCGCAGTAGATCAGTATATACATATTCCATGCGAGCACACAACTGCTGTTGTAGCATAGTGGCTGTGTGAACACAAATTCCCAGCAGCACACACACGTCCAAAGGGGTCCATGTTGCCTCTTACAGCCTTGTGCAGATGATGAAACTTGCATGACTTTGACCCTAACCAACCCACTCATACTTGCAGATGCAGAAAGAGTAACAATGCCCTGGATGAGAAAACTTTTTTCAGTTTTGCCTCCATTTTTGAAGATAACAGGAAAGATTCAGATTCACATACACTACAGAATGTTTAATAAAGGACAGAAGTGAGCGGGATCATTCAGTTTTTCCCCTAAATCTGGTAAAATCTATTTTAACACAGTGTAAACCCTTCAACAGTATGTGGGAAAAAGCTAATGAAGAGGTAACCAGAGATAGTACTGTCTATTGATACAGGAAAGCCAACAGCGCTCGGATGTTCTTTAGAGCACATGGGGCTCCCGACTACAAGAATGCACAGCAATTCCTCAACAGGTGCTTGACCTCAGAACACCTGAGATTATCTCTTAAGAGTGTCAACATGCCTAAACACACAGATCGACTAAGTCATCAGATGTGTGTGTTATCCAATATCAAGCTCGTCTCTCCTTCCTCCTCTCAGTTGTCCTGGAGGACAAGCCAGCTGCCAAGGAAGGCACACTATCACTTTGTGTGACTGTGTATGTGAATTTTGCCTTGATACTGACAGAGAGGGGCATCTGGGTCAAGACAAACAGGCTCTTGTAAAGACTAGTTGGGCTTCAGACAATATGTCTCAGCTGTTTCTTTGCCATTTCATTGCCTATGCACTGTGTTGAGTTTAATGGAAATTAATGAGTGCAAAGAATCAAAATCTCAATCAGTATTTTGACAGAATTAGTTATGCTACTGGCTCCAAGGTCAGGAGATGGCAATCAATTAGTAAATCAGGTATGCACAGGACTTCATTGGGGCTTTTGCAGAAACTGTCGATAGCCCATATTGCAAGGGACCAAAACACACGGTGAAGGAGTTTCATCCTGAAACTTTTGATCATGCCACAACAAATGAGCAGAGTAAGAAACCAGGGACCGAAATCAACGTCTTGCTTCTTTGTTATCGCATTGAATTTGCTTAAATCCAGCAGGAGGCCGAACAAAACGAGTCTCTGCTTGTCTGTGATTTGTAACAGCACAGCTTGGCCTGTTCCCACACACAACCCTACTGTTGTACATTTTCTGGTGACTTTTTGCTGAATTACACTCCAACTTGCGACTGACAAAATTCTGCCTTACATTCTGCTACAGTGCTGTTCCTTTTCCAGGTCAGCATTGCTGGTAGTCAGAGCTGGCTTGAGTTGAACATACAGAACATTTCAAAACACATAAATATGAAACAGCATAAAAAAATAAAATAAAAAAATAAAAAAGATTACACAAACCTAAACCAAAAAATTATGTTAAAAAAAAAAAATCATTAACACAAACAGCAAAACCGCCCTGATCCCAGTTATTGCTGAAGAGTGCTGCCATGGTGTGTCAGAGCAGTGTGTCCACCCTGGGCCACCCCGCTACTGCCCCCACTGGCCTACAAAAATTATCCTGTATCACTGCCCCCCACATCGGGATCTTATCTGCCAGCTGCACTCGGGCGGACTTTTTCTCTGGCATACTGTGGGATATTTTGCTTAGGGCCAAGCCCTTCCTAGTATTTTACAATGACAGCCCCCCTGGCCAGTGCTGGGCAGTGGGGGAATTTTTGCTATGGCTGGAAATGCCGACACCAGTGTAGCATGGACACAATCATAAGATTTCTGTCCTGGAATGATGACTCAGAGATAGCACACCAATGAAAACAGCAACCAAAAACAATTTCAAAGTGTCATACTCATGTGGTTACTGAAACCAAGACTGTCACACAGTCTGTCCAGTTAACAGGGGGTTGAAACCTGTAATCACAGGCTTCACCCAGACAATGGACCAAAGTTAAAACTTTGTGGCTGAGAGGACAGACACATTGACCCTGTTTATGGCTCAAGTTACAATGTTACACTTTAACTCAAGTCTGGTTATATTTTCAGTCGGGTTATTTGTGGGACGGAAAACAGTCACAAAAGTGTATTAACTGTGTATAGAAATATCTAGAAACACTGTGAGCATATCCAGATGAGGATAAAAGACAGAACTGATCACTTGATGCTGTTTTGGATAACAGAATCAACTACAATTACTGCCCTGAAGTTGCATCCCTTCGCCTACCAGTCAACTTTACACCCATGTCTGTCCAAAATCATGTATAACAAAAAGTAAATAAAGCCGCAAGCGGCATTTGACGGGTCCTCGCCCTACGCTTGTCGGTGTCGTGCACGTCGGGGTGTGGTGCAAACGTGCTCCAGGCGGGACTCTGATCCAGCGTGTCGACTTTGAGGCAGATCGTAGCACTTGTGACCCAAGGACACAACCACCATGACAGGTTACACGGCGGAATCAAACCGCCAGCCTTCCGATCATTGATTGACGTGCTCTACCACCGGAGCCACAGCCGCTACGTAAAGTTTCTGGAAACTTCTCCTGTACTTCTCTACATGTGCACTGCTGAGCTCTGTGTTCAGTCCAGGAACAGAACATCACAAGTCCAGTCCAGTATATTTTGTTTTATAACTCTTTAAGGAAAAATGACTACGTACTCACAGTCCATGAGGTAAATGAAAAGGACAATGAGAAATCAGTAAAGTACACCAATGTGATTCAAGTAGCATTGGTATTACCTTTCAGAGTGTGCACAAAAGGATCTTTGCTTCGCTTTTCACGGGATTCTTGGCCTTTAATATGTTATTTCTGGAAATGGTTCAACTGATTGCTTCTGATTGAACATTCACATGCTGCAATTTAGCAAATGACTTGTGATTTGAAAACCACCAACTAAGAAGGAGTGCTGCGCTGAATGGCCACTGCGGCTCTTAACGTCAGCGGAAGGTGGATTCCTTCCTGCTGCTTCATTCAGTCTGACAGTGTAAAATTGGCAAATCTGAGGGGGGGAGTTAACCCCAAGGAGGAGATAGATTTTGAAAATGGCAAAAATCACAAAAAATTGCACACTTGTTTCAAAATGGCGGACTTCCTGTTGAGTTTACGGTATGGGTCCAAGAGGCTTTATTGTGCATCCTGATGTGTTACATATGCATCCCAAATTTTGTAAACATTGGTTAAATGTCCTGCGGGGGCTAATCGCTATAGAGTCATTTTGCCAAACAGGCGCACACTGTCTGTGGTTGAGCCGATAGTGACTTGTATGTCAGTTTTGGGGAGTTTATGAGCATTCCAAAGCTGTCAAAAAATCCTTTCCGTGTCATAGCAACTATGCATCGCCATGGCAACACCATTGCTTGAAAACACAAAAGCTTCACGCTGTAGCATCAACAATGTGGAAAGACTTAGCTGACCAATTTTAGGAATGATATCGCAAAGCTTGGAGCAATGGCACAAGTAAGTGTAATTCCTCAAACAGCCCGTTACCAATAGGTGGCGCTATCACTGTGAATGGATTTTGGCATATGGACGTGATCAGGACAGCAGTCTGATCAAATATGTAAAGTTTGAGGCAGATTGGAGCATGTACAGGGTAGTTACTTCCTCTTTTATGGCGAAGGATCAAACATCAGAGGGACTGTGACTTACCCCCTAGGAGGAGTTAGCTCAGATTGGACAAACAATCCAAAATGGCGGACTTCCTCTTGGGTTTAGGGTATGGCTGTCACTGACTTTTTTGTTCATCCTGACCTCCTCCATATACCTACCAAATTGCGTAGGTCTAGGTCAGACATGCTTCCGATGGGACTCTGTTGAAATTCTCTAGGCGGCGCTGTGGAGTCACTTTTCTATTGAGGTGTGTATTTCCCCCTAATTATAACATTTTTCACCGGGTCTGATGTGTGTGCCAAATTTTGTGAGTTTTCGAGTACGTTTAGGACCTGAAAAACATGTTTCTTTGTGACGAAGAAATAATGACGTAGCAGTTCCAATAGGGTTCTATGCACTGTAGTGCTTGGACCCTAAAAAATCTGAAGTGGGTAAGTTCAATGAGAAAAAAAATAACAGAGTTAAATTTCTTGTGATCACAAGCTTGGCAAAAAAAAAAGCTGATTCTTACAGAAAACAAACCATGACAGTAGGCAAAGCTTCAAATGTGAATGTTGCTGTGCAAAGCTACAAATTCTAAAAACATGGATGCTTCACACACGCCTTACGCTGGCAGCACATAAGATCTATTTGAACACCACCATTTTAAGGTGGGTCACAGAATTAGTGTCCTCAATTCAGTATCTGATTAAATGTAAAATATGTTGGCAATCTCCCCTCTGTTGGAAGTTATGGTGTTAAATAACAGCCAGGACAGGGCTTTTGCAGGACCGTATGAGGTTACAGTGAACTCTACCTTTAGCCACCAAATTCTAATCAGCTTCATTCTTGAGTCCAAGTAGATGTTTGTGCCAGAAGTTATGTTACACAATTGCATGCAGTGCTCTGGATACACTGCACAAGAATGAGATCGATAGACAGACCCAAGAACATGCGTCCAGCTAAAGCTGGTGCTTGTGTGACGATGTAGAGCCCAGCATTGTGATTCACTTAAGTATATTTGGAAACCCATTTTAGCATTTTATTTGTTCTTCTGTCAGAGAGAATGCACCATCTGTGATAGATTACAGTGTTTGCCATACACATATTTTTTTGGTGATCTACGACCAAATAGTCCTGGCTCGTCCTGTCTCATCTTTCCCTACCTGCAGACTGTCCGGCTCACTTTTGTGGCAGTGCTCAAAGTCATTTGGCTGCCTCTCCAGAGAGTCTGTCATCCCATGGCTAGACTAACTCCACCGTCTTGGACTCCTTGTTCTGCGCTCCAAGTGACCTGCTTTGAGCTAATAGGCTACTCCAACCAGAGCCTGCAGCAGGTGGAGAACTGGTTCATTAACCACTACGTCAAGCTCACCAAGGCTTCAGAGCAGGATAATGATGCCATAAAGTCCCACCGTGATAAGATAGTCAACTACCATTACCAGCTACAGTCCAAGACGGTAAACCTGGAGTCCAACCCATGGGAGAGGCAGCTAAATATAATCAGTTATATATTTGTCAAAAAATGCTTTGAGAAAATGTGCAAGTGCCTTGTTGTCTCACATTGCAAAGTTTCATTGGTATAAAGTAATACATTGGGTTGTTAAATTCTGAATGCCACCAGTTACTTCACATACTGTAGTTAGTAACTTGATTTGCAGCGCAATCTGCTGCTTGGAATTTATATTTTGGTTTTCTAGTGACTTGAATTTGGATATGTGTGGCTTTTGTGGCTGCACAGAATGTTGAAAACCACAAAACTGGCGGGTAACAATGATGCTGGTGAACACTCATGGTATGAGAAATAATTAGCTCAAGCTCAGTAAGAGCCCAAAGCAGCAATTTAGAAATTAAAGAGGCTCCTAGGCAGTTTTATTGTTGTCCTGCTGGTTTGCACTGAAGTCATTCTACAGGCACATTTCAACAATGTGTTAGTCAATTTATTTCATTCACTCTTCTAGCAGATAAAAGTTTCTGAGAAGCTCCTACCTTGAGAGCCAGGGACACAATGCCCCAGGCGGTCCTCCTCCCCACAGTTAGCTTGCTCTCTCACCACACCAACCTGGAACCCTGAGCGGAAAATAAAGCGAAATATTAAAAAAAAAAGTTAACTAGGAGAGACATTTCACAAAACAGTAACGTATCATCGGAAGGGAAAAATGATAATGGTTAAAGTGTATTGAAAAATATAAAAGTAAAAGCACATGCCAAGGTGATCAATTATCTACAGTTTTAGAAAACATACTTGTTGTTTAGTGGCAAGCACTGAGCTAGCAGTCTTTGTTAATATAGATTAAACAAGATATTCAAACTGTGCTTCAGACTTTTTTTTTTCTTTTAGACTTAAAGACCAATGCCTATAATTTTTCACATACTGAGAAATCAAAGTTGGACCACTGATCATTTCTCTGGTCTGGTTGCCTCTGTTGACAACATTGTGGATTTTGTCAAAAGTTACAAAATCAAAAACCTATGGGTGAATAGTGTGAAGTTTAGTTTAAATCAAGCAGGTCCAACAAATAAACTGCTAGCATTATAGAAATACCAATCAACTGGTAGTGTTACAGTGTAAGTATTCTTCCTAAATCTGCTCCAGAACTGCAGCAACCCTTGCAAAGTCTGCCCAAACTGCCTGCTGTGAAGCCCAGACTTCCACCTGCTGCAGTGCCCAAGCTGCTGGTTGCAGTGCTCAGAGTGCAGCCTGCTGCCACGCCCAAACCGCGACCGACAGCACCTGAAGCATCCAATTTTGAAACTGCTGTACACCAAGCCAACTTGGAATGAAGTACTAGGTAGAGTTCCACCAGATCTTGGTCGATAAGGAGAGAGCATAATCACACTAAAGCAAGAAAGGGCAAGACAGCACATTTCAAAAACCTGCTTCAAATGCAAATAAAATGAGACAAAACAAAAAAAAAAAAGAGTCAGCAGTCCTTTTCATTGAGGTCTTCTATAAGGGTGCATTCAAAGGCTTCATGAAAAATTGAGCAACTGGAAGCAGCTCTCTGCATAGAAAAGAACAAAAAGGAGGAGGCCATGACCTGCCTGGTAAAAACGGGTGGAGGAAACTTCCAAAGTTAAGGTTGCAGTTAACCAAGTTCAAAGGCAGAGACGACCAAAGGCACCAGTGGGAGGACAAGTACCATCTCCTGGCCAAGCAGCTAGAAACAGTATCAGGCATGAAGGCGGCACTAATCCAGGCCTTTGACAATCAAAGTTCCCAGTGGTACCTCTACCTTTCTCCTATCCTCCCCACCCTCACCCATCCTGCTACCCTTTCTCCATCTCTTTTATCTCTCCTCTCTCCACCCTCACTCCATTACCCCGCTACCACTCCTTTAACTCCCCCCTGACATCACCACCCCCTTCACCTTATCTTTATTATGCCTTTACTTTATCTCTCTCTTTCCATTTTTTGCCCCACCCCAATTACCCCTCCACCTTTCCTCAACCACTCTTACCCTCTTTCCTCACCTTTCCATTCCAAGCCCCTCGTCCTTTAAGGGGAAACACGGTGATCCAGTGATTACCACTGCAGTCAAACAAAAACACTACCACCTGTCCAGCTGGCTGTTTCTGTGTGGAGTTTTGTTTTCTCCCCTGTGTTTGCGTGGGTTTTCCCCCAAGATACTCCGGTTTCCTCCCACAACACAAAAACACAAATCTTAAGTAAAGTGGAAACTTTGGGCCCAGACACTCACCCCTATGAGTAGGTGTGTTCTGCCTCTAACCAGGAATGCTGGCTTTTTGTTCGGACGTTCATTCGCTATCTCAACCTTAACTGTTGGCTAGTTGGTCTGTGTACAACACACAGATTGACCATAAACAGGCAATGGGTCATAAATGTCCAAAGAATCCTCATAAAACCAATATATCAACATGCTGCTAACTGTAAGAGGCTAACTGAAACTTTTCTTTAAATCTGCAGTACACTGCTACAAAACTCTACATACCTTTTTTATGATTATGTTCTGAGTTTGATAATATGAACATCTATGAATCTATCTATCCATAAGTCAAGGAATCAGCGTGTGTGTTCTTCAAATATCTCAACAACTGTATATCTAATCCACCTCCAACTTAAAGGATGTGTTGTTGGATATCTGAGGAGGTGCTGTGTTGAGTTTGAACAGACCTACTTTTGTAGTCTTTTTGGAGGTATCAGCCTGGTTTTTCATTGCTTGTGGAACAAACCGTTGTGATGCAGCATCATCATCATTGATTAAACACAAGATACGAGGAGAAATCTCCCTACAAGCTCGGCATTTGTCCGTAGAAATCAGATTTAACCACTGATAGCGGACACTGCACTAGCAAAATAAATATCCCATTTTTTTTCCCACCAAAAACAGCCACAAAAAACAACAGCAACAACAGATAAGATATCCATTTGGTTTTGAATACAAGGATGACAGAAGAAATCAGTGTTCTCACTGGAACATCGAGGACCCTGTCTGGGGCCTCTAGGAGTCAGCATGACTTCAGAGATATTTATAGGTTTCTCGAGCCCAGCCTAAAGCCACATTGTTGTCTCTCATTTGATTAGTCTGCTATTGTATTAATAAGCAATGCGGCTTGGGAAAAAAAATAAAACATGAGGCAGCTGTTGATCCTTTTTCAAGCAAGACTAAACATGACAGTCATCAGTGTTCCTGAAAAGAAACTGTAAGATGACAGGGACAAAATCCACTGAATATATGTATATCAAACCACAACAAAGGCAAAAAAAACATGAACAGCTGTTGGAGTCCTAAAGCTTCTATGATAAAGTACAGCTTCTGCACAGCCTAATGAGAGACATGATTATCAGCAGACACAATTAATTAGTATTTTATTTGACAGTGCTGTGAACTACTCTGCTGACTTTATAATAAATCAATAAAGTCAGCAAACAAACCATTATTACAGATACGTCTGGATTAATCAACTTATTGTTTCAGCATGGTGACTTACTTAAAAACATCACATATCTTTCGTGCTTAGACATTTTACATAGATTTTAATTACAAAACCTCAACACGAGCAAAGATTTACATAGAAATAGCTCCAAGACAGCTAAGAGTAGACATGTTATCCTTTCCCTTTCTGTCTTGTTCTTCAACACATAGACAAAAAGGAAAATGTGAACAATGAGCCATGACCTAATGACATAAGTCTATAATTCATGGAAGCATTTGGAGGAAAAAGTGTTCTGTTGCCATCATACTCTGCACTCAATGTGCTTTCTTTATCACTTCCCTTCCTACTCGTGGGGTATTATAGCCAAGCTTTGTTCCTCATCGTGAGGCGGTATTGTTGTTTATCAGTGTGACCACTGGGCTTACTAAAAAATCTTTGACCACCTGCCCTTCCTCTGCTGTCTAATGAAAAATTCTTCCTCAATCAGCGTTGAGAGCCCACCACTATTGAGAACCTAACTACAGTTTGGGATGGTAGCATTGCTACAAGTAGCAGCGTTACCAGTTTAACTCCATTTTTTTAAAGTGGTAACTAAATCAAGTATCTTTACAGTAGAATAACTCTGTCATAGATCAAATAGTGTGGTAGCATCCACACAAGCTACATTTCCCAAAGCATTTCTGAAGTGACAAGTGGACCTTTCATTGCAGTCTGAAATAAAACTAAGGATCAGTATGTGACACCGCCGCCGCCGTGCATGGACATGTATGCATAGCCAACAGAAGCACTTGCATATGATCATGACATCACGTACCAATCCTCTGTGCAATCTTCAAGCACCGGCTAGCAGCTTGTATACAGCTAACTACATGTGTTTCTGTGCTGTTGGCAGCAAATGAGTAAAATACAAAATATAGTAAACTACTTTTGTCATGTTGGTGTAGCTTAGCTTGTTGGTAACTGCTAAATTTACTCACCACAGTTGGGAAGTATTATGAGCTCATTAACTGGAAAAACCTTCTGCGAAAGGAAAAAAAATTGGTATGAACAATATTTTATTTGGAATGTATGCATATAGAGCTGATGGAGCACGGCAACAAGGACAGTGCTGTTTTCAGCTTCATCATAAGTAGGAAGAAAACTACCAGGATAGATGAGCAACTAGTATAAAAAAGCGACCTTCTTCTCAAACCTTCAACTCAAGTTCACCAAATAATGAACCATCCAGTTAAATTAAATGCAGCAAACATCCACAGTTTATCAAAATAATCTGAAGCATTGGATTCAAATGCATTATAGACATGCATAAAAAAAACTTAGAGGAGCTGACAATGTTTAGTCCACACCAAGGACCAGTCTTACATTTGTGCTTATACCAAATGAATCACAGCTGTACTGATCAGGAGCATTAGGTACTGCTATTAGTATTTCAACATCATTCACTTGTTAATTGAAAGTTCATTTATATTTACCTACTATTACATCATCCTTAATGGTCTGGAGATGCCATGCAAACTTTTTCACAACTTCATGAGCAAAATTAAAGCTCGCCTCACTGACAAACAACCAATCCCTGTCAATTAGTGTGTTCTCCCAGTATTTATTTATGTTCACTCACCCACAGATGTGGTTTACATGCTAAGCTAGCTAGCGTTGACTGCTAACTAAGAGGGAAAACAAGGGCAGAAAAAAACACAAGCAGATGAGGAAGGTGTGCTTCTGAAAACACAAGCTGTGTAAGTTACAGGCCTCGGAAAAATGACAGGCCTTTATTTTAAATCATGATTTTCCTTCCATGGATTATGAAAAAATGAAAAAAAAACATCATGTCCAGCATTACATTTCACAACAATGCTCTTGTTTCGTTTGGGTATTAATCCAGCATGACCTTTTCTCTTAGAGTGGTGTATTTTTCCTCTCCTTAAAAATCCAAATGCAAATCAAGTGATGGATGGTTCACTTACTAACAATATGAATTCCTTAAAGTTCAATAAATTAATGAATGAATGTTTCCAAAGTCACTGAGTATCCCATTATGATCTGCTTATTGACGAAACTAACAGTAACAATGGTTTTGAACCTAGCACCACTAGTCAGTCTTAAAGGCCCACCATGGCTTCAGGAAACACAACACAGAACAGAACAACCTTATACGCAAGTATTGCAATTAG